CTTGGGACCGTGCGAGATTTCTCCGTCGTTCCAGCCCATAATATGTGTTATCTCGGGCTATACAATCGACCCCACCGGATTTCACGGAGCTTATCTGCGAGACAAGACGGCTAGCTGTGATGCGCCAATGATGGCACCGGCTGCTATCCGACTCGAAGGCCGTATCTGGCCAGAGTATATAAAGACTTGTTTACGGAGCGATGAGCCTGTCTGACCCGAGTCAGACACTACCACCAAAGAGACCCCTCACGATGGCAACGTATCTCGTCACAGACGACTCGAGCGCCGACATGGGCAAGAATGCGCCCGCGACAGGCTGGACGGCAGTGGAGGGCGATTATGGAGCCGAATCCGACCTCCACCGCAAGCTGTCCACGCGCCACCTGACGATGATCGCGCTGGGTTCGTCGATCGGCATGGGGCTCTGGCTGGGCAGTGGCACGTCCCTGGCCAACGGAGGCCCCGCGGCCATCTTCATCGGATATGTCCTCAGCGGCTCGATGGTCTGGTCGGTGGCGCATTCCATCGGTGAAATGGCCGTTCTCTACCCGCTGCCGTCGGCCTTCGTGCAGTGGTCGTCCATCTTCGTCAGCCCGGCGGTCGGCTTTACGATCGGGTGGGCCTACTGGTTCAACTACTGGATCACCATCGCGAACGAGCTGCAGGGAGTGGTGACTGTGTTGAGTTTCTGGACGGACAAGGTGCCGACAGCGGCGTGGATTAGTATCTTCTGGGTGGTGATCATCCTGATCAACGTCTGGGCGGTCAGCTTTTTCGGCGAGGTCGAGGTGGTGTCGTCTCTGATCAAATTCTCTTGGATCTTCGTGGTCATTATCTCGTTGATCGGTACGTCTCCATCCACTCTATTCAGCCACAGTGTATCTAACGCGCACAGTGGTGTCGGCGGGCGGCGCCCCCCAAGGCGATCCCATCGGATTCCGGTACTGGAATGCCGAACCCTTCACCCACGGCTTCAAAGGCTTCCTATCGGTATTGCCCACGTGCATCTTCGCCATGTCCGGCTCGGAATACTGCGCATTGGTGGCGACGGAGACGAAAAACCCGCGCAAGGCAGTCCCCCGCGCGGTTGGGTCGATCTGGCTGCGCCTGTCCCTGTTCTACATTGTCGGATCGTTGATGATCACCATCACGGTTGACCCCCACGACGCGAACCTGTTTGGTGGATCGGGGGTGAACGGGTCTCCGTTTGTGATCGCGTATCGCAACGCCGGCCTGCAGCCGCTGGCCCATATCATGAACGCGATCATCTTCATCTCGGTCATCTCATCAGCGAGTATCCAGGCGTACGGTGGGTCGCGCACTCTCATGGGACTGGCGCACTTGAAGATGGCTCCAAAGGTAATCTTTTTTCCCAATCCTGGTTCCCATTCCCTGGCCATAGTCATGGTACTGACTTGTTAGGTTTTCGCCAAAGCCGACTCCGTGGGCCGCCCATTTGCCGGACTGGCCATCACACTGCTGGTGGGCGGCGGCCTGTCGTATCTGAACGTCAGTCAGAAAGGGTCTGATGTCTTCACCTGGTTTTCGAACCTGGTGTCACTGCTGACCTTGTTCGGATGGGGGTCAATCTGCCTGTCACATTTGCGCATGCGGTACGCCTGGAAGCTGCAGGGCCGAGCCCCCTCCGACCTGCCGTGGAAGTCGTGGACATACCCATTTGCGGCTGTCTGGGGGCTGTTCTGGTGCGTCCTGCTGATCATCATCGAGTTTTATCTCAGTGTGTGGCCGTTGGGTGGTGATCCGACCGCCGAGGGGTTCTTCGCCAACTACGTCAGCGTGGTGGCCGTGCTGGTCATCTTCGTCGGTGCGCAGATTTACTATCGCGGGCCCTTGTGGATTGATGCTGCCACCATCGATCTGGACCGGCATCGGCGATTCTATGTCGCTCAGGGTGAGGAAGAGGGAGAGAAGTCTGGGGTGGCCAAGTATGTGTCGAAGGTGGTGGGTGTGGTGACCAACTAGGTAATAGACATAGTGACTGTAGGTTAGTATCACCAGTGAATCCATGATTCACCGATCACAATCATAGACAAATATGAAACTATCACGGTGACAAGTGATCGACATGCCGAGTAACAGACCGAGGCCCGGCGGGGTATCAATGCGGAGGTCGATCTTTGTTTACAGCTTCATCTCCACTACATCTCCACCTCCACTTCTTATCCCCCTCTCGGCCACTTGACCTCTCATTTACACCATCGCTTCATCTCCATCCATCGTATCATGAATTTCGATCTCCCTCCCGACCTAGTGGCGCACCTCGGGTCCTTGGATGCCTTCATCAACGAGAAGATCCTCCCTCTCCAACACGCCGACGACAACAACCGCTTCTTCGACCATCGTCGCGAGTTCGCCCGCACCGATTTGTCCAACGGGGGACTGCCGACCGCGGAATGGGAACAGCTCCTCTCCCAGGCGCGTCAGCTCGCTGACGAAGCGGGTTTCTTCCGCTTCGCCCTCCCCACGGGCTACGGCGGCCAGGGTCATCCCGAAAGCAATGTCTGGATGACGGCCACGCGCTTCCACATGGCGTCGCATCCGGTTTACGGGGGCGGCATCGGCCTCGCCAACGACCTGCAAAACGAGCACAGCGTGGTGGGTAACTTCCCGGACGTGCTGATGCTCCACCATTTCGGATCCGCCGAGCAGCGTCGCACCCTCATCCCGCAGCGCCTGCGCGGCGAATTTCGTGCCACCTTCGGCCTCACCGAGCCGGACCACGGCAGCGATGCCACTTTCCTGTCGACCGCGGCGACCCCGACTCCCGATGGCGGCTTCGAGATCAACGGGCGCAAGAAGTGGCAGACCGGCGCGCACCACTGCACTCATCTGATCGTCTTCGCGCGCACATCGGGAGAACCGGGGTCCGCCCGCGGCATAACGGCCTTTCTTATCCCTCGCGACACCCCGGGAGTGCGGACCGTCAGTTTCGAGTGGACCTTCAACATGCCCACGGATCATGCGACCATCGCACTCGAGGGCGTGCGGGTGCCCGCGTCGGCGGTGATCGGGCAACTGGGACATGGACTCGCGATCGCGCAGACCTTTGTCCACGAGAACCGCATCCGCCAGGCGGCCAGCTCGTGTGGGGCGGCCAAATACTGCCTGGAGCGCAGCATCGAGCGGGCGCAGGGTCGCCAGATCTGGGGCGAGGGTCGCCGGCTAGCGGACCACCAGGCTATCCAGTTTCCCGTCGTCGAGCTGATGACGCAGGTGGAGATGCTGCGGCTGCTCATTCTCCAGACGAGTTGGCAGATGGACCGCGTGGTGGCGTCTGGGGTGCGGTGGCCGTGGGTGCAGATTGAGCGGACGCTGAGCGACAGGGTGGCCATGTGTAATTACTGGGCGAACCGACTGTGCTGCCAGGCGGCCGATCGAGCGATTCAGGTATTTTTTCTTATTTTCCTTCATCTCCCTGTTCTGCTTCATTGATTCATCTTCTGTTTACTTCCTCCTTGTTTGTGACTTCTCACGCTGACTCGCATGCTGACGACAGATCCACGGCGGCGACGGATACTCGCGACACTACCCTTTCGAGCACATCTATCGCCACTTCCGCCGGTACCGCATTACCGAGGGCGCAGAGGAGATTCAGATGCGCAAAGTGGGTGCCTATTTGTTTGGATTTGGGGGGAAGGCCCGTTCGACTAAAATGTAGGCACGGTCGGACCATGTGTGCCTGGACGCTACGCAGTATGCTCTCGTTGGACTCGATCGCAGTGAATCGGACCGAATGGACTGGAATAGAATCAGGCGTTAGATTGTTCAATGGAATCATGGGTCTTCATCAGCCCATCAGGGCCTCTGTGTATTGTAGCTGTATGTCGTCAGGCTCCGTTGGGAGACTCGATCGGACATCTTGCCACCATTCCACGTGGACGCTGTGAGAGACCAGGTTATCCCCTTCTCCTTTCTCCCGGCATCTGCATCACTCTGTAGGCATCTCCATGGATTTCCGGAACTCGAGGCGTGGTCGCCCTATCCGGGTCTGCATGCCTATCCTGGGGATCTCCCCACCACCAATCAGGCACGAACGGTCCCTCATTTGCTCTTTTTATTTTATTTTTTTTTATGTTAGCTCATTGTTATCCTGCTATCGACCCTAACTCAGAATTATCTCACCAGTCAGGCAGTGGACGGCGTTGACAGGCCGAACGTGGCGCGTTGGGCGATCATCCGTCGGCGAATCACGACGTGGCAAGTGGCATCGATGCTTTCTGTCTGGTCAACTGGACAGTGACTCATTTTCCGACAGCTCTGCATCCTCGACATCCCAGGAGGAATGATGTCAGGGCACGAAAATAGCAGAGACAACAGATGGGGTGGTCGATGCTCTCTGCCCCTCTCTGTCTTCCCTGTTTCAGGGCTCGAGTCAGGCACTTGACAGCGTTTCAGATTCAGATCTGCCAACCAACCCACCAGCCTGACGATGCGGAGACCCTCCTGCCAGGGCGGAGCTCACATGGGAGAGCAATCAGGGACAGAGACTGGGAGATGCGATCTCTGACTAAGAAGCCTGGGATCCACCGAAAGAGCGGTGTATGGCCTCATTTTTGGTCCCGATTGTACCTGTCGTGCCTTGATAGGTCCTTGGCCCTCTTCGGTCGATCCAACGGTGGAGCGTTCGACTCCCAACTCTCTTGTCGGCTCTTCTGGTAATGCAGCTGGCTTGGTCTAGGTTTCCCTCGGTTCTCGCGACTGAACTGGCAGTGCCATGGCCCATCGTCGTTCAGCACGTCGGCGATTTCTGCGGCCGCTGCCAGGCTGGCTGGTGTATAAGAGAGCAGCTCACCAGGATGGGAAGGAATATGGAATGAAATCCTCTATCTTCAACAGACATTGTAAATCTACTTGATCCCATCTGGAACTCTTTGACAGATTCCATCTACCATCCCCACGTCCCCCGCCCCCATCGCGATATCCACCTTATGATCTCCACCCTCCGCTCGTTCCTGGCTCAGCTCTGTCCGTGTCGGAGAATGGAGTGCTCTGCCTCTCGCCAGTCTTCCTCCTCCCGATTCCCTTTCTTCTTCTCCAGTCTGTGGTCGTCGCCGTCACCGTCACCGTCACCGTCGACACCACCGGCCCGGACACAGCAGACCGCGTCTACCCAGACGACGACTAAGAGCCCGTTGCTGCCCGCCGTCAATGCCCGTCGTGCGCCTGAGCGCGAGGCTGAGGACCGCGAGATGGTCGGCCAGCGGGCTACCGGGGAGATGTCCGCCCTCGTCGGCCTAGAGAACGTCAAGCGCCAGCTCCAGGGCGTGCAGAGCTGGGTCCAGATCTGCCGCCGCCATGGTCGGGATCCCCGCAACGAGGGGTATAGCATCGCCCTGCAGGGCAATCCTGGCACGGGGAAGACGACCATCGCGGGGATTTACGCCCGCATGCTGTTCTCCATCGACATATCCGACACCGAGACTATCCGCCAGACGTCTGGCAACGAGCTGATCGCGCTGGGCGTGAGAGGCACGCAGCAGCTGCTGCAGAGCGTTGTCGACGTCGCCCCGGCCGCCCGCACGGCCGGCGCCCTCATCATCGACCACCCCCGCGGTTTGTCGAAGCGTCTGAAGACGCACCGACAGATCGTCGACGCAATCGCCGACGCCATGGAGCGACCCACCGGGCGCATTGTGGTCATTTTTACCGGCGATTCCGACGACCTGGACACCTTCTTCAAGGAGCACGCCCGCATCCACCGCCGCATCTGCAGCACCATCACCTTCGACGACTTCGACCGCCCGGACCTACAAGCCTTGCTCAGTCGCCGCATCAGCGAGGAGTATCACGACCGCATGCAGCTCGAGGGTGGCGTCGACGGGCCTTATTTGCAAGCCGCCGCCCGCCGGCTGGCCCGCGGACGCGGCCGCAAGGGCTTCACCAACGTCTACGCTGTTCGGGAGCTCGTCAAGACCATCGCCCATCGGCAGGTCCAGTGCCTGATGGAGCAGCGTGACAACGGGGTGGACGAGGTCGACTACTTCTTCTTCTCCCGTGAGGATCTCCTGGGCCCCAGCCCGGGTGACGTCAAGGAGCGCAGCGAGTCGTGGGCCCAGCTGCACGCCCTCGTCGGCCAAGACGCTGTCAAGACGTCCATTCGCGAGGTCGTTGACACCGCCGACGAGAATTACTGGCGCGAGACACGCAACCAGCGCCGTCTTCCGATGCGACTGCACCGCATCTTCGCGGGGCCTGTCGGCACGGGCAAGAAGACCGCCGCGACGCTGTATGCGCACATCTTGTATGAGATGGGGCTTCTAAGCAGCGATGAAGGTGACTATTACTCTTTCCCCTGTCGACGCCAATTATGCTAACCATCCAGTCAACATCCATCACCTGTCATCGCTCCCCCGACCGGCCCCCCACGCCGGGCTCGCCCCCGAAGGACAGGCGCTGATCCTCGACATCTCCGGAGACGGCACCCCCGACAGTGCGGTCATCGACATCCTCGCCGCCGAAATGTCCTCAAGCTACGAAAATCGCTGCATCATCCTGCTGGGCGACTCGGCCGCCATTGCCGCCTTGCCGGACTCCATCAAGCAGGCGACCCGTTTCGAGCAGCACCTCATCCCTTTCCAGAGCTTCACCCAGGAAGAGCTCGAGCAGCTGCTCCAGAACAAGCTGCAAGACCAGGGCGTCGACACTACGCCGGATGCCTTCCAGGCCGCCATCGACATCCTCATCAGCGCCCGCATGCGAAGGGACTTCGACAATGCCCGTGCCGTCGACCGCCTACTGCTCGTTGCCCACCACCACTACGAGGCGCGCCGCGCCCAGGCGCCCCCCGCCGGCGCCACGCTTGACCGCGTGCTCGAGGCGGAGGACTTCGACGCCGGTTCCATCGGCGGCGGGGCGGCCCTGTCCTTCCGCGAGGAGCTGCGCCACACCATCGTCCCGGACGAGATCACCTCCGTGCTGAAGCGGTACCATCGCGAGATGAAGACCGCCTGGCTGCAGGGGCAAGACCCGGGGAAACGGGTCCCGTGCACGTTGGTCTTCAAGGGAGGAAGTGGTAAGTAAACGCCCCGTTCCTATACAATACCCATTCTAACACCACTTAGGCAGCGGCAAGAAGACCGTCGCGAGTCAGCTCGGCACTCTCTACTACAAGATGGGCGTCTTAGACAGCGACGAGCTAATCGACTGCTCCGTCGCCGACCTCATCTCGTCGCAAGCCGGCCACTCCTCACTGCGAACGCGGTCCCAGCTAGAAGCCAGCCGCGGCAAGGTGCTCTTCGTCGACGACGCCCACCGCTTGACCGAGAACGATTCCGCCCTCCAGGCCATGGATGAGTTGATCTATCTTCTTCCCCGCTACGCAGGCCACACGGTGGTTATCCTGGCGGGTCCGCCATCTGAGATGGACCACCTGCTCGCCAACCGGCCGCGCCTGTCTGGGCTCTTCCAGGAGGAGATCATCTTCCGCTGCCCGACGCCGCGCGAGTGTCTGCGTCTGCTCGACCGCTACCTGGATGAACACATCCCCACGCCGCGGCCGTATCTCATCGACACGCAGGTCCAGAGCCACCGCGAGTTTACGCGTGCCGTCCAGGTCCTTTCCATGTTCCCCTGCTGGAGCAACGCACGGGACATCAAACTCCTGGCTAGGTGGATGGTCTCGGCCGCCGTACGTGACATTCCGCTCGACGGCACCCCGTTGCCGCCCGTGCAGCTGTCCGAGGACCAGGCCATGACCTGCATGATCAAGCTGTTCAACCTCAAGCGTGACCGGCTGCGATACAACCAGGACCCCAAGGCCCGGATGTTGCCTCGGATCTTGTCCCAGCCGCGCTGCACCGAGCGCACCGGCGTTCGATTCCCGGTCTGAGTGCCGTGACTGTATGACTATCGACTGGGGTATTGCATAGTAGATGTTGCATAGTGGATAGATTGCATGGTAGCTCCAGGTGTACATTCGTTGTCTTTCCTTTGTTCTCTTTCTTTTGTTCTCTTTCTTTTGTTTCCACCGGTGCTGGTCGCCGGGTTGATTGCATGAAAAGACTGATATATTATGGCTACGACGTGATAATGATGAATGAAATTCCGCATATTCTTTTTCAAATTTTTTACATCTTTATTATCCATCCTCCATATGATATGTAGATACAACGAATACTAACTCCCTATAGTCGAGAGAACACCCCGTCTGTCGCGCCTCCCACTCTCATCCCCCAGTTACGATCGACCTGCGTCCATTAGCTCTGCACGACCATCTCTGCCCAGATGGAACCTACATCCGCAATATGGTCATATCCCAACAGCTTCGGAGCCAGCCCAGGATCTCGCCAGGCTAGGGCCTCCCCTTCCGGTGTCGGAACCATCTGCATCTTGGCGTCGCGCTGACGCTGCTCCTCTCCATCGTGGAGATGATAGAAATACTGCTGCAGGTTCCCCCTTTCAACAACCATCTTCGTGCGTGCCTTGCGGCATTTCTGGAATACGTCGAGCGCGTGACACTTTTGGGCGATGAAGGAGGCGGACGATTTGGAGATGGACGGGTCGTTGGGCAGTCGCGAGAGACATTCGCCGAGGACGGCGGCGTCTTCGAAGGCCATTCCGGCTCTGGTCATGTATTAGTCGCTGCTGGGTTCGTTGTGAAGAGCGCTTACCCTGACGCGAGATACGGCAGCGTCGCGTGTACGGCGTCGCCTACCATCACCCACGAGCCGGAGGGATGTGTCCAGTCGTAGTCGCCGAACCGGATACACAGTCGCCATTTGTGCACCGATTGGCACAGTTTCAGCAGTTTCTCAATTCTACCCTATTAGACCCGCGTTCGACACTGTGCAGGGAGAGCCTACCGTGGATCCCACCCCTCGAACAGTGCACACATCTCCTGCACATTGCCCTCGACCGTCGAGGCGAGCGACTCCTCGGGGATGTCGTCTGGCACCAAGAGCACCATGTTGAACAACTCTCCGTTGCGAAGCACGTAGTTAACTGTCTGATCAGCATTCCCGCCGTCCGTAATATCAAGAAGACATACCTGCATGGGCATCCGGCCCCAGCCAGTAATTTACCTGCGGGCTCGTCACCAGCGGCTCCAGCTCTGGGTCCTTGCGCATCTCCTCCGTCGACAGCAGCAGCCGGTACGCCAGGTCGCCGGTCTTGACTGGCGGATCACTTCTTCCGAGAAGTGACTCGGTCAGTTTGCCAAACACGCCGTCAGCCCCAATCACCAAGTCCCCGGGCCACCTTCGCCCGTCTTCCGCGACCGCCGCCGAACTCGCCCCATCGGGGCTCACGATGATGTCGATGATCTTCGCATTGCAAATAATCTCCACGCCCAGCTCTACCGCGCGGTCAACCAAACATCGGTGTAGATCGGCGCGGTGGAAGTCGCGGTACCAGCACCCCGGGTATCCCCGTTCGGACTCGGCGAAGTCTAGCGACGAGATCATATTGCCCTTCCAGCCGACGAAGTTGCACACGGTAGGAGCGGTCATGTGTGGGGTAAGAGCTTTCTCCAGACCCCAGTGTTGTAGCACTCGCGAGCTATTTGGGAGGATCTGGATGCCAGCGCCAATTTCTTTGATCTCTGGAGCGACTTCGAGGACTTGCACAGCGTGGCCGGCCAATGCGCAGCTGATGGCTGTTCCCAGGCCTGCGAGGCCCGCTCCAATAATGACGACCTACTGCTGTTAGTCGGTCCTCCGCGGGGATGGAAAGGAGGTTATCATACCTGGAGCCGGCAGGCCTCGTCGCGGACCTCCTGTTGTTTGATGTGGATGCGTGGTGCCATGGTGGGGAAGATCGCAGTGTGTGATGACAGACAGTCCGATCGAAGGGCCTTTATGTTAGTCTAATTATCGCTTTTATCGATTGGCACCATGTATCGATAGTCCAAAGATGGGGGTTGTTTGCCTCCTGCAGAACGGCGGGGATGTCGCTGCAGGCATAAATGATGGCTTAGCTGAGGTTCCAAATACCAACAAGTCCAACGCATCGCATTTTTCTTACGCTTACCATGTCTCGAGTATGTCTCCATGCTACCCAAACTTCCCCCGCTGACTCCGTAGTTTTCTCTCCAAGGAAGAACAGCCCTCGTCACCGGCGGCGCCCGGGGATGCGGTCTCGCCTTTGCGCAAGGGCTAGCAGAAGCCGGCGCCAACGTGGCCATCTTTGACATGGTCGAGCCGGAAGCCCAATTTCATGCCATTGAAAAGACATGTGGTGTGCGAACGGCCTATTACAAGTAGGTATGTGCGTCGCGTGCAGGCGAGCGGTAGCTGATCGCACAGGGTGGACGTCTCCTCCGAATCCTCCCTCGCGGCAGGATTCCAGCAATTCCAGGCCGACTTCAACAACGCGCTCGATATCTGCGTGCCGTGTGCCGGCATCAACCGCCATCTGTCTTTCCTGGAGTTTACCTACGAGGCGCACCAGAGCCTGCTGTCTGTCAACGTTGTGGGCCTCTACTTCACGGCCCAACTGGCAGCCCGGCAGATGATCACCAATGGAACCAAGCACGGCAGTATTGTGCTGGTGGCCAGCATGGCGAGCCACATCGCCGTGCGCAGCCAGCTGTGCAGTGCATACTGCGGGTCTAAAGCGGCCGTACGAGGCATGTGTCCTGCCATCGCGAAAGAACTAGCGGAATATGTGAGCTACACCCCCCCATGCGCCCAATTTGTCAGCTAATCTGGTAGAATATCCGTGTCAACTCCATCTCGCCCGGCTACGTGCGCACCGAAATGACTGCATCCGTATGTGACCGGTTCCCCCGCTCCACTTCTGCGCTGACGAACCAGTTTCCCCATCTCCTGGAGGGATGGAAATCCGAGACGATGAACGGACGGATCGCCGAGCCGGAGGATATCATGGGGGCGTGTGTCTTCTTGGCCAGTGATGCCAGTTCCTACATGACGGGGCAGGATATCGTCGTGGATGGGGGTGTCACTCGATGGTAGTAGATAGGATCGGCAGACTTAATAAACATCATTGATTGTTCAAAAGTGGGGGGAGGCTACCCCATCCACCCTGTGAGAGGATCGTGTCGTATCTCCGAATCGCATTCCACGGATTTACTTATATTCTACACTCCGGTAGACTAGATGAAACGGAAATTAGAAACGTTAGAGTTGAACGAAGTGATCATGGCCCCCGGTGCTGATCACGAAGGATTCGTCGACGACGGCGCGGTCGATGCAGCCACCACGGTGCTCATTGCCGGTGCTGGACCGTCTGGGTTGATGCTGGCGTACGTCAACCCCCCTACCGTGGCTTTTTTGTTAAATTAATGGCATCAGATGCAATCTCGTGCGTTTTGGAATTGACGTAACCATCCTCGATGACCGACCCGACAAAACATCCACCGGAAAGGCCGACGGCATCCAGCCCAAAACGATCGAGACACTGAAACAACTGCAACTAGCCGATCCGTTGTTGAAGAATGCGGCGCGTGTGTATGATATTGCCTTTTGGGTACGAGAATCATTCCTGACGTTCGACAGGCACTAACGGACAAGGAATCCACTCCCGATCAACCCCTGCGACGAACAGGCCGTCAAACGCATTATCCGGACCACCTCGTGGGCGCATCTGATCCCTATATCTTATTGGCACACCAGGGCATGCTGGAGGATGTGTTCATCGACGATATCGAGTCTCGCGGGGTGTCTGTCCTTCGCAACAGCTCGTTCGTCTCGTGCGCGCGTGTGTCTGGTGGTCGCGGACTGATCTTGTCCTACGATGACCTCAACAACAAGACAACTAAGAAAATACGGGCAGACTATCTTGTCGGGTGTGATGGCGCGAGGTCCAAGGTTAGGACCTTCATCCCAGATGCACCGCTGGAGGGAGAGATGACCAACGCATCCTGGGGCGTGCTCGACGGTGAGACTGTACCATTTACCCCTACCCAGACACCGGTCTGACAGATCCAGGGGTCATCGACACCGACTTCCCCGACCTCTGGAGCAAAGTCGCCGTCCGTTCCCACGAGGGAGGCTCCATCCTGTGGATTCCCCGGGAGCGCAACATGACCCGACTATATGTCGAGTTGAGCGCAACGGATGGAGAACGGGTAGACAAGTCCAAAGCCACACCAGAGTACGTGATCCAACGCGCCAGGCAGGCCATGCATCCGTTTCGTCTTGAGTGGAAAAACATCGGTAGGTGTGGTCCTTCCCGAAGACTGACAACAGGCTGACGGGATAGAATGGTTTGGGAACTATGTCGTGGGCCAGCGCGTGGCCAAACACTTTGCGGACCCGGCCTTGCAAGTGTTCATCGCCGGTGATGTGTGTTTACTCTCCTGTGATCGAAATGACGTGTCTGACGGATATAGGCCGGACACTGCCACTCGGCCCTCGCAGCGCAAGGCGCCAACACCAGCATGCACGATAGTTTCAACCTCGCCTGGAAAATCAACCTGGTCTCACGTGGGTTGGCATCGCCCGCCCTATTGTCGACTTACGAGGAGGAGCGCCGCAAGATCGCCCGAGATCTTATCAATTTCGACACGGGTCACTGTCAAGCTTTTGCCCAGGGAGAGGCCGCTCTGGCGAAGAACTTTGACGACAACATCCGGTTTATCTCGGGAGTGGGTGCCGAGTATCTGTCTGGCACCTTGACAAGATCTTCTCCAGAGACGTCGAACACATCCCTCCGTCCTGGTGCCCTGATGCTTCCTGCCCGGGTGACCCGGTATATTGACGCCAACCCGGTGGACATCCAGCTTGATATCCCTATGCTCGGACAATTCCGCTTGTATCTGTTTGCTCCTGACGTTAACTCCTCTCAACCCTTCTTGACAATGCTGTGCCAGCACCTGGACACAGCCTCATCTCTGGGTCGGGTGGCTCTTCAGGCCGACGCGTCCTATCAGAACCAACCGCGAGGACAGTCAGAAGCGGACGCATTTGCCCAACACCAGAGATACACCCCGGTGTCCCAGATCCTGACGTATGTCCTGGTCACGCGGTCTCCCCAATCGTCCTTTGAAATTGCGGATCTGCCTGAAGCGTTGCAAAAGAGTCGGTGGTCGTTGTATCTGGACGGTGGTGACACGTCACACTGTACGGCCAAGTGGATGGGCGGGTTGGCAGAGAACAAGGCTGGGGTCGTTATTGTCCGACCGGATGGGTATGTCGGGGCTGTTCGATACTGGGGTACAGAGGAAGGAGCGGGAGCAGCGCAGTGGGTGGATGAATATTTCAAGGGTTTTTTGGTTGATTGAGTGACAGTGTAATCACTGCGTTTTCTATATATATATAGATCAACTACATCAGTTCAACCAGCTACATTGCTACACCGCACGACATTTACGGACCAGGCCCCTTGGATTTTGAACGAGTAGTCATCACTATTCAATCATTATGATGAAAAGTCTGGAATACTGTGAAGCTGAATGCCGATTTTAACCTATAGAAACCTCGTCAAACTATCTATAAAATCACGCGACCACGGCGTCGACTCGCCCCATGTCAAACCACCCCTCCATTCTGATGATACTACTTTCGATTACCCCCGGATCTGGTCGAGAGCCGCGGCGGCAACAAACGCATCGCAGGCTGAGCTATGGGTGGAAGCGTCGGCGACAGCAAAAGGCCCGGACCAGCGAATCCCGAGGTGATTGTCCTCGTCACGGTCGCGATCCCAGATACTGTCCGCGTTGCGTTGAAGGAAGGACTCGATCTCACGGTCAGGAGCTGCCTGATGCAGTCGAATCAGGTTGCGCATAAAGACTCCTTTGAACTGCGATCCATCGGCTCCGCAGTCCGGCTCGCACGATTCCTGCAGCACACCGTCCGAGTTGCTCAGCGCGTGGATCCCACCCAGGGCGATGTGGCGAGCGGTAGACAGGTAGGATTTGTCGGACTGGAGCTTGGAGAGCTCTACGAGGGCCCCTAGGATGACACCTTGGTTGTAGCTCCACACTGTGCCGTGGTCATTCGTGCAGGTCGACAAATCCAGCCCGTTGTTGATGGTGTGTTGGTCGTTGATGAGACCACTGTCTGAGAACCACTGCCATGCCTTCAACGCCCAGTCCTGGAAGGCGTCCGCCTGCTTTGGAACCCGTCGTGCCAGATGGGCGGCCACACTAATGAACAGTTCGTTCTCGATCGCCCCGTTCTGCGTGTGCTGCTTGTTCCACCACAGTCCACCGCACGTAGCGCCCCAGCCCGTGATCATGTCGGTGAAGATATCGACAGCCGTATCCAGGTATCGCCGGTCCTGCGTCACGTCGAATGCTTGGATCCAGGCGAGCGCCCACCATCCCTCATCGTCGTACATGGCGTTGGTGAAGTCGGGGGATGCATCAGTGGAGACACTTTGCTGAGTGCCTGGGTTGGCTGTCTGTAGTTTCAGGCTTACCGTCCGCTGTGCTGATGATGGTTTAGAGTTCGGTGCCAGGGTCCATGTATTGTTGAAGACGGAGATACTAGAATTCAGGGACGAGGGATCAACCGCCACCAGATCGCCCAGCACTGTGAGGCAATTGGCGCCATTCCACCAGCCTGTGGTGTCCCACAGTCCCGTCGACGTGTTGTACCATCCCTGCAGGGCATCGACGGCCAGCCGCGCGTGCTTTTGGTAGTTTCCGTTTGCCCGGTAAGACAGAGATCCCTCGAGGGCATTCGCCCCACCCAGGCTGGCGACCGTGGCTACGATTTTCCAGTATAACGGCAGCATATCGAGAAATGACTTAGCGAATCCGAAAGACTGGCGGTGCTGGGAGCACCGCCCCAGGGAGGTAGGGAGTTCACATTCTTGGATGGGACCGGTATGCTGACCGTGACACAACCACCATGTTAGCAGTCCTTGTCACGAAGCTGGCCCTCGCCAGTCTTTCGGTCGTTTTTAGATCAAATATTGTTCATCTTGTTGATCCGCCGTGGCAATGTTCTTGATACTCCAGCGGAATTAAGCCGGATTGAACTGTTTTGAACTAGATTGCATCGTAACAGGGTTGGGGGTCCCAAGGCCATAACATCCGACAATTGTCCGGGGGAAGTCATGGTAGACGTCTCTGCCAGTCGTAGGAAAGCATACTGCCCGGATGATGGAGTCTGTTGAACTCCGCGTCCCTCAGCAACGTTGCCACCCTGAATGAAACTATCCGTTTGTGTTGAGTTGGTTAAACGGCGAGAAACCCTCGATTTTTGCCAAGTTCATATAAGCGAGATGATATTCCCAATACTAACGGCCTCCTGCGGATATAGCCATTATATGGGTTCCCTGCAAGGGACGATCAACCTTGATCGTCAAAAGGCATCTCAATGTGACGCAATATCAGCATTTCACCCATCTCTCCATAACAATTCTGTTGGTACTCAACTAACATGGACAGTCTTTAGTTCAACCCGAGTCCCGACGGAAATTCCGACGGAAGCTTTAAAGGCCAGTGGAAAGAAATGGAAAAGTGGTGGGAGTGGGGCCGTGGCCCCTGGAAAGCCTCCCGTCGTGACCAATCCGAACCCCAATCAAGACCCATTGCGTCTATCGACCGAGTGGGCCTTATGGGGGAATTATTGCTGTCCGATTGGTCATGCGGGTGAATCTCGAGCTTCGTCAGGATTTGATAAGGATTGATCAGGTTTTGTGGGTCCAATCCGTGAATGATTGGTGATCGTGCAGTTCTTGCCGCCGGCTTCTCATCATCTCAGTCGACAAGCCTTTTCATGGCTCGTGGGCGGACCGGGCCCAATCTTATTATTTAATAGTACTCAGGCCCAGCACGCGAATTAATTCCCGGTGGTATTGGTGCTTCCCTCTCTTCGTCAGAGTTCTGGCCGTGTCCTTTTGTCGTGCACTCGCTCACACTGAACCCCCCTCATCTAAGTGATACGCCTCAGCCGCCAAGATGACCGACATCAAGACAGATAGGCAAGGGGACGGTCCTGGCCTTGATTTGCAACAGACTCAGTCGATCTTGCCCGCCGTCAAAAGCATGGGCCCCCTGCGGGAGGCCGTCTTTGTCTTCATCGCGTGCATGGCCCAGTTCATGACCCAGGCCGGGCTCGGCTGTACACTCTCGCCGCTGACCATCATCGGCGAGGATTTGGGCGTCCACAACGATGGCATCCTCAGCTGGTTCATAGCGGGCTATTCCCTGACCTCGGGAACCTTCATCCTGTTTTTCGGTCGCTGCGGTGACCTGATCGGTTATCGCCCCGTGTTCATACTTGGCTTCGCCTGGTTTTCCCTCTGGTCGATCGTCGCCGGGCTCAGTGTCTACAGCAACCACATCCTCTTCATTTTCGCCCGTACCCTGCAGGGCTTGGGTCCGGCGATGCTGCTTCCCAATGCGCTCGCCATCCTGGGGTCCACGTACCCCCCGGGCACCAAGAAGAACATGGTCTTCTCCCTGTTCGGCGCGACCGCGCCCAACGGGGCCGTCGTCGGGGCCGTGTTCGCGGCCCTGTTCAGCCAGCTGGCCTGGTGGCCGTGGACCTTCTGGGTCTGCGGCATCGCCTGCGCCATCTTCGCTCTCGTGGGATGCATGGTTATCCCTCACATCTACCACGAACCGGAGCACCCCCCGCGCACCGTGAAGGACTGGATCCAGCAGCTCGACGTCATAGGGGCCGCTCTCGGCGTCGGCGGGCTCGTCCTTGTCAACGTCGCCTGGAACCAGGGCCCCGTGGCCGGCTGGACTACCGTCTACGTCTACGTTGTGCTCATCATCGGGGCCGTGCTGCTGGCGTTTTTCTTCACCTGGGAGCTGTGGGTCGCCACGCACCCGCTCATCCCGCTGCATGCCTTGTCCCTCGACGTCCTATACGTCCTGGGCTGCATGGCCTGCGGCTGGGGTAGCTTCGGCATCTGGGTTTACTACTTCTGGCTCTTCCTCGAGCACATTCGGGGGAACACCCCCTTGCTGTCCGCCGCGCAGTTCGCTCCCCCGTGTATCTCCGGCCTGATCGCCGCCTTCACCACCGGATATCTCATGAGCCGCCTGCGCCCTGCATGGATCATGCTCATTTCCATGGTCGCCTTCGCCCTGGGTGTTGTGTTCCTGGCCATCGCGCCGGTCGGACAGACCTACTGGGCCCTGACGTTCGTGTCCCTCGTCGTCACTCCGTGGGGGATGGACATGTCGTTTCCAGCGAGCACTGTGCTGCTGTCTGATGCCGTCGAGCGCCACCACCAGGGCATCGCCGCGTCGCTGGTCACCACCGTCGTCAACTACAGCATCTCCTTGGGGTTGGGTTTCGCGGGAACCGTCGAGGTGCACGTCAACCGAGGAGGAAAAAACTTCCACGACAAATTATTCGGCTATCGGGCGGCCCTGTATATGGGAATTGGACTTGCGGGGCTAGGAGTGGCCACTAGTCTGGTGTACCTGGTTAAGACGAAGGTGAAGCGCACGACTCCATCGGTCGAAGAGGGGAAGAAACAGCCACAATAAATTGGTGCGGGAGGACATCGGTTTAGAAGTATAGATATATATAAGTGATCGACCTGACCAAAGGTCTAAGTAATTTTAATGCCCGCCCCCTTTTACACCATTTCCCAGTAGATCGACCGACCAACCACTGATGGATGCCTGGTGCTTATAGGCCGATGGCCACAACGAGGCTGGGGGTGGCGTCTCACTAACCTGTTCGCCCCGCTCACTTGGTCAAGATACGTCCTATGACAGTGCGAGCCGTCCCTAGTTTCAACGGAATGGTAGCATTTGAAGAGCTTGTCGCCTTGTGCGGTCAGCAAGGCAAAGAACAGTCCCGCGTGTCATCATTGGTGTGTTCGTCTAATGATCGGTCGATCTAGCCATCTTTTGTACTTTCTGGACAGAAGATACCACCAATACACCACGCGTCCGTCATGTATTCCCTGCAATTAGATATAACTTGGAAGTTCATAACAGCTAGAAAGCACTTGACTAACTCGATTTGTAATCATCAAGTTGCGAGATCCTCCAGGCCATCCTAACGTTAGGGACCGACCGACTTCCTTTGATTTATAAGTAAACCGCTGATTTCAAAGCGATAGACTAGCTTGTTGGTTACTGTGTGAGCCTGTATATATATTTGGATGACTTGGTCCTCGTTATCCTGCCCAGACTGGGCTTTCACATCTATTCGATATCATTGAAACCTTAGAAACACCCTCACTATGGCATCTTATTTTATCACCGGCGCCTCGCGCGGCATTGGCCTTGAGATCGTCCAGCTCCTCGCATCCAAACCATCGTCGGAAGTGTCTGTGGTGTTTGCTGCCGCCCGTACAGAAAGCGACGAACTGAAGCAGCTCATCGCGACTGCAGAAACCCGCGTGCGCTGGGTGCAGCTCGACATTACCGATAAGGAGAGCGTCGAGCGGGCAACCGCCCAGGTGACCGAGGCGTTGGCTGGTAAAGGCCTTGACGTGCTGATCAACAATGCCGGCATTATGCCCTGGACAGTGGGTGGAATTGAGGCCATGTATTTTGACTCTTACTCGTCTTCCTAGTCTCTCTCCTAACTCTACTTTCAGGAACGATCTTGAATCGACCTTTCACATCAACGTAACCGGTGTTCACGTGGTCACGCAGAGTCTTCTCCCATTGCTGAAGAAGGGCACCCTCAAGAAGGTGGTCAACGTGTAAGAACGTTTCTGATAACTCACCTGGCAGTGCTGACCGGGATAGGTCGACGACTGTGGGATCGATTGGCATGGCCACCACGTACCAATTATTCCCTGTCCCCGCATACAAGATCACAAAAGCGGCCCTCAATATGTTGACGGTGCAGTATGCCCAGTCGTTTGCCGACCAAGGGTTTACATTTCTGGCCGTCTCTCCAGGGGTATGTCATTTCTAAGCCCCGGCAAAGTGGCCGTACGCATACTGACAAAGGAATAGTGGGTGAAGACCAATCTAGGGGGCGAATCCGCCGATTTGACCACAGAGCAGAGTGCCAATGCAGTGTTGGATATTGTCTTCCACAAAACCGCTGCTGATACGGGGAAATTCTTCAATGTTCGCGTCCCTGGGTGGGAAGAAGCCGAGGGTCTCAATAGATATGATGGTGCGCAAGTTCCTTGGTAAGCGGCATTACAGCTTAGATGGATCAGGCCCCTCCATGATTGGTTAGTTCTAGAGGATCGCAATTGGTTTGAAAGCCGTGAAAGCATCAATATTATTTGGTATACACTGAGCCATCTGAGCCAATCGGACAACTTTGCATGGTCACAATTTTGTAACAGAAAATGCAAGTTTGGGCAACGAAGAAACTACGAGAAATGGGGAGCATTCAGGAACAATCCCATCAAGATCCCTCCCAAGGTCCCGGCAATCGGGATGGTCATGATCCATGCCAACAGGAGCAGCCCGACTCGCTGGAAGTTGACAGCCTTGACCGTGCCGTTGCAAAGGCCAACACCAACTGTCGCCCCCGTAATGCACATCGATGTCGACACAGGAAGCGAGTACTGTGAGAATACGAGCACCGTGATGGCCGCCCCCATCTCCATGGAAGAACCGCGACTAGGCGAGTGATAGGTGATCTTATTGCCCATCACTAGATACTGAGTTAGACAGACTCTCTTTGCCCTGGGAGTAGAGAAGGATTACCTTTCATGATGTTGTACCCATACGTAACCAATCCCAGAGAGATCATGATCGCCAGCACGGCCAACTGCCACACGGGCACCGGTGCCTTGGACGCCGCCGCATCACCCGTTGACCAGGCCGAGTAGATCACAGCCCACGGCCCCACAGAGTTGCCGATGTCATTCGCACCGTGAGCAAAGGAGGCGGTGCATGCCGTCAGAATCTGGACGAATGAGTACGTGTGCTCGACCTCGTTGGGGTACTTCTGGGCGTGGGCGTAGACTCGCTGCATGCGCGCCCCCTCCGGGGTCCCCTCGATGCCCGATTGGGCAGCATGGATGTCGTAGTGTAAGCCGTAAAGTGCTCCACATGTGATCGTGGCCGGGAGACGTGTGAGAGCGGTCTTGATGTTGTGCAGTTCGTACATCCGACCGGGCCCCATAGGGTTGTCGCGCAGGGTGCGCATAGCCCAGCCCATAGGACCGCGTTTTCCCAGCAGCCGGTTCTGTAGCCTGCGCTCGCTCTCCTGCATGATCCCTTGATAGGTCAGCGGCCGCTTCTCAGACCCGATGAGGCCCTTCTCCGTGTATTCGGCAGCCTCAGGGATAATCAGGTCGAAGGGCTGGCACCCACTATCGTGGGATTGCCCCCCCGATGAAGGGGCCCCCGCGGCTGTGAGGCTCTCATCCTCCTGGATCACGGCGTAGTTGGGGATCTTGGCACAGTCGGCGTCTGGTGGGTTGGGGCGGCGGAAGAGTAGTGGGCCCAGGACACACATATACCACTTGATCCCCTGATCTTTCTTGATGACGCGGGCGTGCACGAAGGGAACGAAGAAGATGGCGGATAGAATTGCCACTCCTCCACCGGTACCCATGGTGACAGCAGCGATATACCAGCCAGGTTTCTTGCTCAACCCCAGATTCGGCGAGCCCTTGTAGACGATGGATAGGGTGCAGATGGTGGCCGCGATTAGGAACCAAACCGGCGCAGTATAGACCGCCCACGGGACAGGGTTCTTGCGCGCATGGACCACCAGCTTGATCAGCATGAAGATAGTTGCGGCGAAGCCCCCACTAATCACCGGTGCCATGCCCAGCCCAGCGAAGATGGCCCCTAGACCCTTTCCATTGTTCCAGCCCCAGTGTACCTGCGATGCACCGACGGTCGCCACTCCCACCCCAGCGACAGCGGAGATGAGCGAATACGTGGAGGAAACATGGGCGGAGTGACGAGTGCACCACATTACCCACGTCGAGGCCGCGGCCAAGGCACAGGTAAAGGCCAGCATCTGCACGCCGGCATTGTCGCGGAAGGCGGAGTTGGGGATGATGCCATTTTTGATTGTGTCAGCGGTCCGGGCCCCCACCGTGATGGCCCCGAGGAGTTCGAAGACCGTCCCGAAGATCATGGCCTGACGATACGAAATGGAGCGCGACGACACACTAGTAGCCCAGGCATTGGCCACATCGTCTGGACACGGTCAGCTCGCCCTCCCGGTGGGTCCTCCCCATAGTACACTCACTGGCACCGTTGTTATACGCATCCAACATGGCGAACAGCGTCCCGATGACGAAGACGTACGTGTAGTCGGACAGCACCATCTTGGCTTTTTTTTAAGATGACACTTATGTTGGACTGTGGGTTGGCAGAGGGAAGACCCGGGAGTTGGGAAGCAGATGCCAAGTGTATTATATCCCCACGGTCTCCCTGTTCAAGCTGAGAAGGATCTTTGTTGAGTGTTGTGATCCTCTCATCACAGCGGTCACAGCGTCATAAGATAACCCATGTTTCTTGATAGCAGACACGTTGTGCAGTGCAACGACCTGATTCGTGGTTCCACGACGCCTGGACCGATGGTGGCTTGAGCAGACCAGGGTCAACTCCCTTCACTGATCCTGACAGGTTATCAACTCATAAGTTTGAAGTCTCAGCTGCCATGGGAAGGATGAAATTAGGGTTGGGGCCGCATGGAGTGCCTGGCCTATCAGGGACCCCACTCCTCCCACGTGGATGTCTTGCCCTACTTTCCCATTCTTGATTTGATACGGAGTCATAGGATCATGATACAGTACTTCAGTGTTATACATTCGATTGGCTCGAGATATACCTCAGATATATATACAGCAACATAAATAGATAGTACCATGTTACCCTTAAATGGAAGTCAACCAGCCACACGAACACCCCGCTAGCCCTGGTTCAGCTGGTCCATCGCTTTGCTATGCCGGTAAACTAGCTGTTTGGCCTCCGGACTATTAAACCAGTCAGTCAATGCTCAACATTCAAGGAGTAGAAAAGAAGTACCTGTCTAGGAAGATCGTGAAACCATCATCATGGTTTTTGCCGTACGAATATCCCGAATACCCGAATTGCCAGAACAGATCCGGCATCTTCTCCTCTACACCGATCGCCTGCCATCCGCCCACGGCCTGGATGCGGGTAATGTTGGAGACTGTCCCAAGGTTCTCGCGCCGGGCCTCAGGGGTAAGCCATCCTATGGTATGGTGAGTCCGCTGCGGTAGGTCGAGGGGGTTGAGGGAGAATCACTCACCGTATTCCTCATGGACGACTGGCTTGCCCTGCTTGTGCATGACATCGGCATGGTCGCGCACCCACTTGTCCGTCCATTCCACGGTCTTGGTCCACCAGTCGGGGTAAGAGTGGAAGGTCCCGAAGTCGATGTTGGGCAGGGCCAACTCCCCGTCAAAGTCGCCGCCGTTCTCTCCGTTGTACGCCCAGTCGTCCGACTCGCGGTTGAAGCCGCCCTCGCCGCCCCAGGTGACTAGGTGGCGAGGATCCAGCTGCTTGATGTAGGTGCTCATCTCGTCGATCCACTCGGTCATGAGCTCGGGGGTGCATCCTTCGGGACTCCGGGGGAGGTTTCGCTCGCCGTCGGCATCGCAGCGTGGCTCATTTGCCAGCTCCCAGGCCATAATGGCGGGGGAGTGGCGGTACCGCGTGACAAACTCCTTGACATACCGCTTGTAGGCGGCCTTGATCTTGGGAACTCGATAAAACTAGCGACAGGGTTAGCAGGGGGGCGCCGTGGAGCGGAATCCAGCTCACATCGTCGTGATATTGGCCGCCCAGGTTCACCGTGTAGACGTCCATGCCGCCGTAGTCAGCCCAATTGTTGACGAGGGCGACGATCAACTTGATTCCCGTCTGCTCCGCCGCGTGGACCACCTTGTCAAACGGCTTCAGGTCGATGGTGGACGTGCCGTTCGACCACCGTTGGAAGACGACGTCGGTGGGACCGGCCCCTTCGCCTCCATAGTCCGGCAGGCCACCGTCGATAAGGGTGGCGTTCCGGTCATTGAATCCCCAGGTGCGAAATACTTTCAGGCCCGCCCGCTTTGCCGCCGTGAGGCCCAGCTCGACGTCGGTTTGGTTCTATCGACGCGGTCAGCAACAGTCGTCGCTCGCTCGATATCCTACCGATCCCGCCCGGACTGGGAAGTGGACGCACATTGTTAAACGGGAAGTAATACGCGTTGGAACCTGCATAATAGAAGTCCTGTCCATCGAGCTGGAACTTCGCCCCGGAGGTGGTAACAAACCCCTTGGAAACCTGGCGGCGGCCGGGGCTGCCCATGCACGCCAGGGGAAGGAGGGAGGCCACAACAAGAGCCGAGAGATCGAATCGCATGATGGGTGTATTGTTTTTGCGCTCTCCAGGGCACGATAAAACTGTCACCAACAAGACAATCAATAGCTGGATGAGGCGGTCTTAATATATCCGAAAGCGACGCTAGCTTGAGTCTTCACGGAGAATGGTCCGCCTTGGCTCTTGACTGCCCCAGACATCCCCAAACACCCTATTTTGTCGACGACGCACAATTAGAAAAAACGCCGATCTTACAATCAAGTCGGGTCGTGTGTTGGAACAGAACCAAGGGTTGACCAAGCGCGCCACCAGGGGCTTTACCAGATTGGATCCGGACTTGACGGACGGTGCCTATCCCAGAGCCCCGCCGTACTCCAAGCTTACCATGGCGAATCATCGCCTTGGGACGACCTAGCTCATTGAGGGGTGGCCCAATAGGTAATATGTGAGCATCGCACTATTCGCCATGGTTGAGAGTACATGATCTTTCTGAAGTCGAGTGCTGGGGTTAGGATCTCAAACAAAATGAGCCAAGGCGGGGTATTCAGCCCGAAACGCGGACCGACTCCTGAAAAAAACGGAGGAAACCGCCTGGAGTGACGCACGGTGCCTGGCTATACTTAAAGGAGTAAGGAGCTAGTGGCGCTATCTAGAATAAAGTAAGATCATCATGGTCGGCTGTGAAACGCGAAAGCGATGGTGGATCGTGGGATTCACTATTGCTGGTGAAGGTATTGATTCAGGCAGGTAGAATAAACACTTCAATTTCATGTACGAAGGTAGCTACAGTAATTATCTCTAAGCTGGGGGCTTTTCCATGGTTTGACTGTTTTTATCATTAGACTACTGTTGGTTCTGTTGTACATTCTCAAGCAGTTATCAAGATTCAGATAGCCGATAGATATATAGTTTTCATGTATCGACACTACTTGTTCGGGACAGACGAACTGAAACAGAGAGGAAAGAGAAGATAAAAATAAGAAAAAAGAATACTACCAGATAGCACAACACTTCTCAATTGGAAGCCGTGGACCTATGTAGCCCCCAATGGTGAAATATTATCCAAATGTTACTAGCGACTCGGCTTGACTTTGCAGTGACTGAGATCATATACCTAAGTCTACCATTCTGTGGTGATTTGCTCTTCAATATATTGATTGTGTTTAGGGACATATCACAGAAACCTTCGCTGAGGAGATCGTTGAATAGTCAACTTTCAGTCTATAGATCATGTTGGATTTGTCGCGACTGAAAATACCTACCTACCACAAGGCTGATAACACAATAGGTACATGAACCTGCTAATCGAATACATCTGTGACATATCGAACATTTCTCTGCGACTGGAACCACTGTTCCGCCCGATCGTCATTTAGCCCCTCCAGTGGGCTCTCATCTCCCTCACGACTCGTCGTCTCCTCGCGGAAAATCTGGAGGATCGCTCCCTTGGCGGAATCGGCCACCCCCCTCGACCCGCATACAAACACTTTCGCACCGTTGCGCCAGAGCTCCACTACGTCTTTACGGTCGTGCCAGATGCGATCGTTGACATGCGCACAGCCTTCACTCTTGTCCGCCGCCCGGCTAAACGCCCATCGTACATCCACCACACCCTGTCGCTGCCACTCCTCGAGCTGCGCACGGTACAGATCATCGTGTCCCGGGGCGCGACACCCGAAGAAGAGGAGCGCAGGGGCGAGCGTCTTCGACTGATGCAACAGGGCGGCTCGCTCCTGGAGGAAGCCACGGAAGGGCGCAAGGCCGGTGCCGGCCGCGATACAGATCATCGGGGTTCGGTCGGGTTCGTCGGGCATGCTGAAGCCCCCGCCAGATTGGCGGGTCGTGACTTGTACGATGTCGCCGGGACGAAGAGAATCGAGGTAGGAGGAGGCCACACCAAGGTGGCGGTGTCCCCCTTGACTGGAGCGAGAGGGCGCGTCGAGGATCGACAGCGTGATGGTAGCGTGGTTGGGGTTCCAGAGGGGCGACGAAGAGATGGAACTGCATTCGAACATTAGTATGAGACCGCGATCATGGGACTGCAAGGATGACACTGACTATTGTCGCAATCGCATGGACGGTAGCATGAGGAGGAAAGATCCCAGTGGCAGATCGATTGCTGGATATCGCTCCAGTATGTCCAGGACGGAGACACTCTTGGCGAGGATGTCGTCGGCATAATTTTCAGTCGCGTATCTCTCCAGAGCCACCTTCGAGTCGGCGTCCGTCGTGGCACCGGCCATTGTTTTGAGATCCTATAGACGATGTGATTTAGCCTTTACCGTGTTCAGTGGACTGTGTCTAGCTTACCTTGCGCGTAGCGGGTTGGGAGAGCTCCACGTAGGAGCTCAGGATATCGCTGGCTGCCATTGGACGGTCTGTCGGTAGGGCGGTGGTCAGACTGGAGGCAGCGATCTTGACCTGTGCGTCCCAGGGCAGTTTGAACTGTCGCATAGCCCGGCGCACGGTTTCGAGAGGGTTAATAGGCAGAATCGCGAGGTAGTCACCCGCGCTGTAGTGGAGTCCGTCAGGCAGGCGGACCTCGAGATGGATCTTCCGGCGCTCCGTTTCCACCTCACTGGTCAGGACCTGAGTGTCGACCACGGTGGCCTGACCCACATCCTGGCGTAACACTTGGGTGCGCGACTTGCACATCGTCACCTCGACGCCTACTTCCGGGCGCGCGGACACACTCGGCGGGATAGTCCCCGCGGTGTATCGCGCCATCAGCTGCGGCCACAGTGTGTGTTCCGCCCATGTTTCGAAGGTGGAGAACAACTCGTCGGACGCGACATCAGTGAGTCCCAAGCCGGCCAGGCGGGTGGCTCCCAGCTGTTCAAGCGTGGAGTCCACTAGCTTGGGGATTCGGTGGAAAGTTTGCGCCCATTCCTTGTTTCCGCAGCCAAAGACCGCGTAGGAGACGTCCTTGAGCGGTTGATCATGATGGCTCAGACCCTCCAGCCAAGACACGAACTGTTTGGCATTATCGGGGGGCTGTCCTTCGTACGAGGGGGTCACGATGACGACCGGCGCCCCCCGAGGGAGCGCATCACGGGCGCGATCGAGGCTATCACACTGAACGACTCGGAAGCCTCGCGACGGGGCGTCGACGGCAATGCGCCGGGCCAGGGTGTCACACGTGCCACTATTGGACCCGTACAAGACGGTCAAGGGGATACCGGTCTGCGCGCCGGTGGCCGATCCGGCAGGGGTCTGGGACCGTGTCGCCTCGGCCGCCAGCCCCGCCAGTCTGCGTTCTAGAGTGGTTGGAGTCAGTCCATGGCGTAGGGTCGCCCTCATAACCATGTCTTTCGGCTTGATAGTCAAGGTCTGCTTGATGTGGAGCTGGTAGTCAGGTTCCAGCGAGAAATCGAAGTTCTGGAGGAGCATGGCCATGACCAGGAGGGCTTCCTGCCAGGCGAACGGGCGTCCAATGCAGGCCCGCATGCCGTTCCCAAACGGTTTCCAGGCGTTGGGAAATGTCTTTTGGCGCGCGTTGAATGACTCGTCTAGCATGCGTTCCGGGCGAAAGGACCCCGCGTCGTCCCCGTAGATGGCCGGATCCAAATGCGACTTGGCCAGGAGGTTGATGATGGTCTCCCCCGCCTGCACCGGATATTTGCCCGCGAGGAGCGTGTCCTCGAATGCCTCCACGGTGAACAGCGGGATGGTGGCATTGAGTCGCAGGGTCTCGCGGAGGACCCCATTAATATAGGGCAACTTCGACAGGTGGGATACGTCAATTACCCCCTGGCCCACCACCGCATCGACCTCCTGCTGGGCCTTGCGGTAGGTGTCCGGGTGGGTCAAGAGCTGGTAAAACACAAAGGACAGCAGGCCAGACGTGGTCTCGTGGCCCGCGATGAGGAAGGTGATCAAGTTATCCATGATGCTTTCATCGGTCATCTTCTGGCCGGTTTGCGCGTCGACCCCCCGCAGCATGGCTGCCAGCAGATCATTGCGATCACTCTGGCCCGCCTTGCGCGCCGTGAGTACTCCCTGGGCCGTCTCGCGCAGCACGGCAATGTCATCCTGGAATTTTTGCTCCCGGGCGCGGAAGAAGACGCCCGGCAACGGGGGCCGCCGCGATTTTCCCCCGGCCTCGGTCAGAAAGTCCCCCATGGCCTCGATGAACGGATGCAGCGTAGGGGAGTAGTAGCTGTTGAATCGGTACCCCATTGAGCAGAGGGCGAGAGTGTCGAGTGCCAAGCGGGTGAAGTCATCCGTGACCATGATGGGGGCGTCGGGCCCATATCGCGCCCACTTCAGGGCCAGCTGGCTGGCGACATCGTGCATCTCGTCGAACATTCCCCGAATCGACAGCGGGCCGAACGCGGGCATCAAGACCCGATGGGCAACCTCCCAATTGACCTCGCCCATTTTTGCCTATGATGGGTCACGGTCAGCACGATGGGAACAGATGCGGTCTACTCCAGGGGGTTAACTGACGGTAAACAATCCATCGTGCACGCCATCGCGAATATGCTGCCGCTAAGGTCAGTTGCCGACGTGAAAAGTGTCACGGAATCAGCCATCTCTCTCACCAATAGCGCCGAATTAACGGATTTTTTGAACCGCTTCTCGTCACAGGTCTCATCAACCAAGGCGTGGGTGGAGACGACCACGACCGAGCGTCCGGGGAAGCGCAGACGGTAGATCTCGCCTGGTTGATCGACCATTAGCCGGGCGCGAGGAGCTTGAGTTCGATCTGGACACGCACCTAATCCATCGGCCAGAGCGACCATGGAACCCAGGGGGAATTCCTGGTCGATGGAGCCAATATTTCCGAAGAACGGGAGGCCACTCGGCTCCGGAATTTCCGCCATGGTGAGGGAAGCGGGGAAATCGATGCAGTGCAGTCACAGAAGATGTCGATCAGTAGTATCAATCCGTCAACTGGGGTGGTTGGATCCCAAAGCGCGACGGTCGCCTGTGTTCAAATGCGTCACCTGGTCTGGGGGCGATGGAAGGGATAGAAAAACCCTCTTTGTTCCTTAAAACAGGAATCACGATAGGAGATAGATTTTAGAATTCCCCAATTGTTGAAACTAATAGCCAAGCCCTGGATGAATTCCATGGGCGAGTGGCACCTCGGCTGAACCGTGGTCCACACTTATGTCGTCTTGCATCAATAATGGCCATGATAGGGTAATCAGATCTCGACCTCGCCATCGCACTCGGTTTGGGGAGGACCCTTTGTGTGTAAGAAGGCACGGCCCACTCCGCTCCCTACAATATGATAAGTGCGGCCAATCTCGAGGGAAGTCTAGCTCCGATGAGACACGACTAATCATGGTGGAGCCGGATAGCCGGCAGATTCTGCACGCCAGGCACGAGTACTTCGAGGATGCTATTGCTCCCTATTAGGCCTAATTTCTACTAACAAAAGAAAAAAAAAAAAAAACAAAAAAAGAATAAAACACAACAGCACAAGTATGGCTGCGGTCAACCAGCGTTGCCCACCCGAAGCGCCCACTTCAGTCCCTCTTCAAGGCGGTTCCGGACGCACTTTACCTGCCTGAATATCTTCACCCGAACGACTAGAAAGTCGCATTTACGCAATTTGGAGAGGCCCCATCAGCCAAACAAGAGGCGCTACCCGAAATCAGCAGATAAACAGCCTCCCTTAGCTTTGAAATCGCCACCCTTATTGTCATCTCTTCTGTTCAACCTCAAAGCCCCGAGGCTAGTTCGTCAGTGAAGGGTGCTACTGCCATATTCAGTCAGATGATTAGTCTTGAGAGTTAATCATATTAATTACTGACTTAAGTAGAAATCACGCGATACGCCTCAGTTTAGTAGGTATTAGACTTATCCTTGATAAAGATTGGCCAGACAATAAGACACCCTGCAGGCTGCATTAATACTTTTCCCCTGATAGCTCAATGATTCGAGTCGTGAGCCACAAGGCAACAACAGATTTCCAATTTAAGATCTAAATTTCGCCCTGAAGGATGAAGGAGGAGCATTTCCAGAATTGATCAACAGGAAAGAAAGCATTGGGGTTTCATGGTGCGCCAGGAACTGGGGTGTGGTCTAAGGTACAAGGAACATGGCGGGTATAGTCGCGCCTGCGCCAACAAAGCTTTCATCGACGGAGGAAAGCAGATATTGGGGCATATGTGGGCAGTAGACGCCGGGAGAGCATCAGATCTTACACTCAAGTTAGTGAACCATGATTGATTAGGCTATGCTTCAGTTTCAGCACGCATCCTCCGCTCCAGTATCCTAATCGCTTAACACACGGGCCGTCTCCCTGTCTGGCAATCGTGCATCTCACTCCCCTAGGCCAGTAGAGCTCTGGTATAGACTCAGGCAGCCTGATTGCTAAGCATTCCTGCTTGGATTAGCCTCGCTCTTCCCGTCGGTATATTCCACTCCGAGATCTCACAGTAGCGTTACAACCTACAAATTCTGCTACTACTACTAAATCTACATCTACTTGTGCTTGTTATTATAGGAATTATTGTGCCCATCAAGACGCCTTCCCTCTTCGTACAACAAGGCTGGGGTGATTGTTCAATCACTTGGATCAGAGGTGATGGAATAGTAGGTCACCATGCCCAGTAGTACCCGCTCCAATCCTTAGTTAGTATGCCCCGCGGCGCTTACGGACAGCAGCCTGTCTTCGATTCCCTTATCTACCATGAGTTTTCTGGATTTTTCATAGTCACATTCTACAGTATAGACAAGATATAGTCGCAACCAATATGGACCCCGCGGACCTGGTTTCTCGGCCATGCTTATGTTCTTTGCCAACTGAGGTAAAGCAAGCCATTCTATGTCGTCTTCCAAATCTACACGCGCTGAAGGCCGCAAGTATTTCGCACTGAAGTATTTATTCTGCTTTTCTCAATGGAAAAGAGTTGATCACTATTCAAGTGTTGTTGAACTTGATCCCTCATGAACTACTCCCCGATGCTGCGTTTGCGCTCGATGCATCGTCTGTTGAGGGTTGGACATGGTCCCGTGGAGCCATGACCCAAAATTGGACGCGGGAGAAGGTGTTTGCCATATTGGACCAACACAGGAACTATAAAAGCCCAAGATCTATCGCCCTGAATGACGCGTTTTCCATGCAAAAGTTATATCAGGTCGTCGAAATTTTCACATCGGACTTCATTACTACCGCCCTGTCAAGTAGTACTGCCTTGCCACAATGTCCACCGTCCTCGCAGGAATGGAACCGGGTGGCAAGGAGCTTCTACCGACTAGAGGTGTATAGACATCTCTTCAGGAATAGAGATGACTATGACTATGGTGACAAGTTTGAAAGACCAAAGCCCTCACCTGATTTTCAAGAAGAAGAGCAGTGGGACGTCTATTACAAGCACTATGCTGTTTGGGAATTGGAACAGCTTGCCACGGCCGGTGAATATCTATTTCGAAAGACCGCTATCCGTAAGTTCTCTTCTGGCTTTCCGGCAATGTACCTTTCTTGAAGATACTCGTGGGCTTATTTTTTTTCATATAGCCTTCAACGAGATTGCTGAGCATGATGTGGACTGGGGAAGCTCAGGGATAAATTATGGCATGAACGATGCTTGGGAGTTCAATCAGAGATATGGTTACATACCAGGGCTGGTAGGATCATCTCCATGAGCAATGTTCGATACTTAGTCTAATGATCCAAAGCTTTCCAACGGCCTAGAATTTATTCTTGAAGCCACCACAGCACCAACGTACGAACAACGCAAATTACTTTTAAACCGCAAGCTCAAAGGGTCATATCCCTTTTTACCCGGCTTGCTTCAATGGATTTTCCAGGGGGGAGTTCAAGACTCAACTCCTTTGAAAGAGTATGCTATTGGACAAGCCAAGCTATTGCACATCCCCGAAGTACCAGAGCCTGATTCAGGACCCGCTGAAGTATGGAGGTGGTCGCACTTAGAGCTGAACTCGGAGCAGTTTGTCTGGAGTGTCCATTGCCGTGAGTTGCGCGCATGGGGTTATGTCATGTGGGATAATGCGCGTCTCAATGAGTCAGGCATTTACTCTCAACCGTTCACATTACCACCGCTTACTGATGAAGAGGAGCTTCAGCGACGGAAGGACGCCACGATTGCGTCGATGGTGAAGAGAAGGCGGCTGTTTAGGGAAGGAGCCAGGGGTTGGTGGGCTGAAGGAGATGAATCTCACCTTGAATGGGGAAAGCCTCCACAATTTTCCGATGATGAAGAGGACTGGGAGGAACGATTCATAGAATTGATAAGTGATTTATAGCGTAGAGAGACACTAATGTCTAGTGAGGAGACATAATTTTGAACCATATATGAAATGCCAATTCGCGTCTTATTAATGGATACCGTGGAAAGACGACTGAGAGGGGGTATTCAGCGCACGGCGCGCCATGACAGATTTTCTATCTCTATGTTTACATGTACTAAGATATATTTTATCAATATGATCTATTTCGAATACTTTATTCAAATACTCATAGATATAATAAGGTCAAGTATCCTATATAATTGAAGTTATTCAACTTCAAGAAGAAAAATCACAAAAGCTTAGACATTCAAAAATAGTTTCAAGTCCTTCAAGTATAGCAGTTCTAAATACAAAGGCCAGTTGGACCTATGTATAACTAGTGGGTTTGGGCGGCCGGCCCAGTGTATCATATAGTTTTGAAACTGCCCTCTTAAACTGGCCCTTCGGGTCTCTATGTTTGTTAACAATTTCTTCTTTGGTAGAAGCTCCCGCGCCCTGATTAGGCGAACGTAGACAACTCAAGGTTACAATTAGTGTGCTGATAGAACCTTGGGTCTTTGCCACTGACGATAACCGGAGGCAATCCTGTACAGTGAGGTAAGCCGCGAACACGCGCTGACTCGTGACAGAATAGACACGCCAGCTAAACACTGCAGGTGCTCTGCGCCAATAACACCCCTATGCTGCGCCATAGCGTGGAGGGAAGGCGTGCGCCATAGCGCGTGGCTGTGGGTTGATTGGATACGGTGTCAACTAACGAAGCGGGAGGAGTTGATCTGCAATGTCCAAGAGGAATATTCTCTCAGCTTCGTGTCATCTGCGGGGCTGCCATGTGGTGTTGCATAGGTATATAATCATGCGTTTCTCTTCTGGGCGGAACAAGAACCATCGGTCGCCCACGTGTACCCTACGACGACAAGAAACTTGAAAGGCTGTGATCTGCCGTACAAGATGCAGAAAGGAAGAAAAAGTACCGGTTTGCCGCCCGGTGGTGGAGGGGATTTCTACTGCTATATCTGCCAGAAATCCTTCGTCACCTCTGGCGCTCTACGCATGCATTGTCGAAGCGCAAAAGCGCATCGAGAGGAAACCTCGGGTAAGTTTCTTGTTCCTGGTCCAATTTCCTGATTATGGGAAAGACTGGGTAATTGATTCGTGTTAAGCCCCACCGTCTGCGGCATCTAGCACGAATGAGTTAAAGGTCTTGTCAACAAACAAAGGGCACATGTGCAAAGTTTGCGACAGACATTTCGTAAACAAAACAGCGTTGTGGAAACATAAGAGGGATTCCCCGAAGCATAAGACTCCCCCAGATGCTTCACAGAGTGTTTCATCCAACATCGCACAAGCACCAGCTTCATACCTAAATCGCATATCCGAAATCGTAAGGTCGCCCGAGATAGAAACAGACAGGATCCCCGCAAAGGAGTATGACAACATTGAAGAGTCGCTAGTAAACTTGGGGGATCAACTACCTCCACTCTCACTATTACGCCGAGGGTTACACGCACCGCCAACATCGTTTTCGAAAGTTGATCCTGATATCGAAAATGGTCTCAGGAGCGCACTTGCAGCGCTTCATACTTCGTCCGATTCTGTGGTGGGCCCCAGGGGACTACCCTTTTTCGAAGCGGACACCGACAAGGCGAGGGCCGATAACCCGGTTGCTTCGGTATCAGTGGATCGTCAGGAGGAGAGTACAAATCCCGCGCGCTACGAACCAGTCGTACCTGAAGTCCCTGCACCATGGTCGGCGATCCCGCTGAGTGAGCGTGGTGTGTTGCTGAGTGCCCTGCAAGCGCAATGCCACCCCATTGAGTGCCTGGCGGGGGAGCGATACTGGACCCAGACGCCATCGCCCGCGGATGTCGACATGACAAGACAGTGTAATGGCTGTAGAGGTAAGAAGGCCGCTTGACCACTTGGGCGGTTCACACTAACATGATCATCATAAGCTACAAAGCGAAGTATTAGCACAGGCCGAGCGGAGTCGGTATGCCGATTTCATCCGGAAAGAAAGGCATTCCACGTATGTACAAACACTTTTGCTATCTGAACCCTGAACTGACAGGATAACTGCCAGCAAGGAATAATACGCGGTCAAGTTCCAAAAACAGCGCAGTGCGTTAACTGCAAGCAGCTCGGCAGTTCAAAGGGCTGTACTGTCCTCTCCGTCCATGACTTCGCAGCACCCGATGCGAAATTGGGCATGATGGCACCTACACCAGAATACAACCAGAGTGCACATAAAGCAGTCGTACTAGATTGTGAAATGGTTGGGGTTCTCGGAGCCAATGGCCGCGAATGCAGCGAGGTTGTGCGCGTCAGTGCGGTCGATTTTCTAAGCGGCGAGGTTATATTCGATACCTACGTCTCTCCGAATGGCTATGTGATATCCTGGCGCACGAAGTTTAGCGGCGTCGATTCGTTCCTTCTCTCGCAGAAAAAGCGAGAGGGGAAGTTGATAAAGGGTTGGCGAGCTGCAAGGGATCTTCTATGGCAGTTTATTGATGCGCAAACAATCCTCATTGGGCACAGTCTTCATCACGATCTTGCTGTTCTTGGCATGGTACACACATGCGTTGTTGACTCGGCTACCATGACGCGGATTGCGGTGGGTGAGGACTGCCAACGAAACTGGGCGTTGAAAACGCTCGTTCGGCAGTACCTTGACCGGGACATCCAAACTGGAAAGGGTGGCCATGATTGTGTTGAAGATACCTATGCGGCGCGCGAGGTTGTCTTATGGTGTTTGCAAAATACAACTCAGCTACAGGTGTGGGCTGCTAATGAACGCAAAATCATTGCGGAGAAAAATAAAGAGCGAAAGCTCCTTACCACAAGGCCTAGGGAGGTGGCATCTGCTAGCTAATGTTTCTCACTGGTTTGTCTGATTGATGGTAGAATTTCAGTACTTTCCATGATTAACAATACACTCGTGGTATGGAGTTCACTCTCTCCTGGGTGCAAACTTAATGAAAACATGAAAGAAAACCAATTGCTCTCTCAGCCCCGGAAGGCTGTCTGGATGGTTTGATATGGCTAACCATTTTGCACTGAAGTGATAAATTATCTCTGTTTGAGATTACCTTAAATGTGCCGGGAATTAGAATTAAGCGTCTGTTAAAGGTGGATGGAATTCCTTTTGGCCATGCAGATTCCTACTTTGTCTCCCAGGATCAATATATACATGCCAAGAGAATCATTGATGCTGATGTTGATATCCTGCAGGGCCACCTAATAGGATCGCATACTTTGGAACTCTGATGCGATCTTAATTTGTGATTTATCTCTTCTGGTCTCAATTATGATGTACTAAAAACACATTTCAAATATCAGAAGCAGGTCTAGGCTCTAGCCACATGTAAGACGAGGGTAATACCGAGAATTGGGGAACCAGTTAGGCGACATTGCCTTTTGAGCTCTAAAAGGATATAGCTTGCTATATCTACAAATGCTGGTGATGAGAATGATTGGTGTATATATATCCAATCACTCACTAGATATAGACCGCCATCTAACCATCACAAGGCCATTTGTCTATGTTAGGTAGAAGATTTGGTCATCGCCTTCGCTGTATCACAGGCAGATACAACTCTTTCAGCACCGCAGCCATGATTAGGGAATAACCATCAACTGACAGAAGTAGATTTTATTGGTACGCATGTTGCCGCGTGTATTGAGGAATGCTGTGCATTAGACAGTGCCAACTCAACCCACATCCGGCTAAACACTGCGAGGTAACTACTTAAACCGAGTCCCACAGTGACACAGCTGATCTCAGCATGAGCATTTTAGGGCCTCGACCTTCACCGCTCTGTTGTCAGAACGCATACAGACCCCCGGGATAGCAGTAGATAGCGCACTTACATTATTACAGCCCAATCACAGTTGCTAAAGGGTTACGGCTACTTTCTAATGGATCAAGGTATTATGGCTATGGAGGTAAAATTCTTGTTTCACCGTTGGGCTCCGATACATATCATTCACCATGTATGGTCTGAGATCTTTCGAGTCTTGGACCCTGACAGATCCGTGGGTAGCTGATCCACTGAGCGCAAAACAGTAGTATATCGATTCTCCCCGCAGGAACATACACCACTCGAGACCTAGCCTTCACTTGGACTGGGCCTAGTAGCTAAATTGCTTGTCTGCCTCGCTTGATTCTTTGTCTACGGGTCATCCCTCCGATGTCCTAACTCAGATCATACGGCGGTGAAATGGAGCTAATCGTGTAGTAGTGTGGTGTGGTCAATGGTCCTTTTGACAATGCCGTTAGTCAATACTTTTTGAATAGCAGGATTTTGTTTCTAACTTCTTTAGATCTTGCACCCCGTCTCATTCAATATTCCATTGATTTTGATCGGTTTCAACAAGGCTTAGAACTGGTACAAATCCAGGCCAGCCAATAGAATGACCAGAACAGCAGAATCATGACACAAATACCATTACAACCCGTTATGAACTAAGTATTATGAATTGCCCGAGTTAAGTCCAGAAAAAAAAGACTGGATGGCGTCAAATTTGATATAAGATCACATACTATATTAACTTAGTAAACAAGGACAGGCAAATAGGGCAATCTAGGATATTAGAGGAGGTGAACAGCCTTGGCGACTATTGGGCCACTATCATCTCAGATCTACTATTAGCAACACTTTACTTAAGAGCCACGGTGCACTGTCACAGTAATTATACTAATTGCATAGGCTGTTCTTATCCTCATCTAATCGATGATAATGTCATAATAAATAGCAGCTGACCCTAATTAAGAGGATAACCCATCACCTGAACCACACGTAACTATGCCGCTCCTCTCTACAAGTCTCCATGTAAGTCTTTGAAAGAACCTGAGGAACCCTATAAATAATATTATCAGAAATTCTACTAGAACCTTACTAGGGCCTATTAGACTCTATGAGAACCCTACTAGGACGGTAGGACCCTACTAGACATAGAGACTTAATATAGCTGCTTTACAGGGCTATATACAGGAGCTTTTAGATACTCAAGCACATATACTTTTAAACAGTCTAAATTTTTGAATTATACTCAGCATATGGGGGGCAGTAGCTTGATATATGTCGGGATCTTAGCATGGTTTTCTGAACTATGCTCAACTATAACCTGTACATATATCACATCCTTAGGGAAATACAGGGCATTACCTACCAGGTATGACTGGGATACACAAACCTCAAAAAAAAAAAACATACAACAGCCGGGATTCGCATGTGGTCACCCACCATACTACTAACCGGCCGGCGTGTGGCTTAAGTACGGCTGAGCGGACGGGAAGCCCTGTTCTCCACACCCTATGGTCGTATGTACCAGAGGACAGGTTAGAGCCCTATATAATGCCATTTAATGTGGTCAATACTCAACTAACCACAACTAACACTTGCCCCCGGTGAGCCCTATTAGGGTCATAACGCGTTGTTTGCCACCCATGCTGCTGCGCCGGTGAAGTGTTCGAATCAGCCTTCTGGCCTATCAAACAAGAGAGTTCGTGGTCCAAGGCCAGCCACAAGATACGCTCATCTCAACTCAATCTACTTTCTACCCTCCAAGACCTATACATCCAATATACGTCCATGGCTGACAACGACGAATGAACCAGATCAAGTGAAGCAGGAAGGGGGCGACTCCAGTATACTTGCAGGGAAAATTATTGCTATCGGAAAGGACTGCAGGTGTAGGAGAGCCTCCAATCATCCCACTAATTGTTCACGTCCGCCTACCACTTTGCAGATCTATTCAGTTCTATACGATAACAGGTGAAAACACCGACTCCAACGTGACTGTGACATTGTACGGGTATGTGCTACCAACAACCTAGCTAGATTACCGACGAACGGCTAACAATGGTGCCTTGCAATTCAAGGGAAACCAACCAAGAGGGCGATTTGGACAGTGACAAGATGGAGGGCCCTACCAATAAGATAGTGAAATGGGGGCCGAATAAAGTCGGGACATGGTGCCTTGAGGAACATCAATGGCCCTTTATTGCTGCCATCTTAGGAATCATATACGCTTCGGGATAGATGGGATATGGACTAGGAGAATGACCATTTTTTATGGCCTCTTCTCTATCATCGGTTGAAATGAACCGAATACGAGGGCAATCGGGAGTCCGTTGAGGACCACAAGGAGGGCTTCCAACGGCATGACTAGCATATAAAATTCCCTCCTAAGCGGGATCCGCCTGAATCATGACCCTAGTATAGGAAGGGATATCTCTCTACAAGGCGTCAAGGTAAGTAGCGGAATGGTGGAGGGGTAGTGGAGTGGTGGCGCAGCGGACTCAGCAATCCCGTCACGGCTCTCCCACCGGATTCTTTTCAGCATATTGTGAGAACGTTACTTTTCGTTTGGTGGAAGGATCATACCCTAGCTAGAGCGTAAGCCACAATTTCACAGGATTGAACTGTCATCCCCCTCATTCTAAAGGCGATGGGCGCGACGGGGCTTTGACATGGTGGGGTCGATCAATTAATCGATAATCAGGGGAGATTTCCCTGGTCTAGTGGTAAAAGTCAATTAATGCTGGAGTATCAGTCACTATAGAGCCCAACCAATCGCCGATCGGTGTTTCTAGTGCAGTGGCGCTGATATATATCTCATGTTGCTCAATCCATTCACCGATGCCAACATTCGTAGCTCACCATTGGCAGCTGAGAGTCCCCCAACCAACAACTCCCCGGTTTTTCCCTACTTTACCCGCCGTGATCACTGCCTTTGGTCCCTACACTAAATGCAAAGAACATGGTCTTTTGCAATGATAAGATATTCTAGGATATCTATCTCAGGAGTCACGCATTTGTCTGCCCTCTTCTATTTCAAATGTATTAACCTCTGTATCAACCTGGACTACAGAACGGTAATCCAATAACGGGTGATGTCAAGGAGTCCATCTTCAGAGAAATTTTAATCCTAACTTTTGGAGATGATACTACTGAAATGATGAGGCTGTCTACTAGTTATCTCTGGATCCTACACTGTTTATAGGTACCAATAACCTAGGCTAAATTAGTGACGCGCCCTTCCCCGTGATTCCTCGAACCACGATGCAAACAGTTAAAGATGCTTCCAGACCCAGCCCCCTGTCTCCAGTATCGGCCACGCCATCCGATGTTCCGCAAGTGACAGGGATTCTACCCCCGGGACAATAGGTGCCCCAAAGCTACTAAGCTGAAATGAGACGGGTTCGTGTCTCTAGCGCTCCGTTCCGGGCAGGGGTTCTGTCGTCCTGTAGAAGAGGAGCGCGCTTTCCGGAGAATCCACCGAGTACATCGGGCCGCCATCTCCTCAGTCGGTCTTCCCTCACTCGGGTGCTTTTCCATATGAAATTACACGCTTGAAGGGGCCGACATCGTTGTAAGCATGTCGCGTACCACGCCGGAGGACAGCCAAGTCGCTGAATTAGTTGGCGAAAAGGATGACGGTGGAACCTCGCCAGCGGCAGAGGGGCAGGTAGATGGCACACCGGCGGACGAGGATACATCTGTGTACCTCGATGGGTGGGATGTTAGGTTTCTGGGCATGGCCTTGATGGGCTCGGGGTTTATGTTGTCTCTGGATAACACCATTTTATGTACGCGTCTTTGATACTGTGCACAAAAAAAGCGAACGACATATAGGGGAGCATCAAACTAACTAAAGGAAACAGCAACGGCGATCCCCCGCATCACGAGCGACTTCAACAGCCTCAACGACATCGGCTGGTACGGCGCCTCGTACCTCGTCACGCAAATGTCGCTTCTGCCCACCTGTGGCCGTATTTACACATTCTACGACGTGAAATGGTCCTACATCGTGCTGATGCTCATCTTCGAGTTGGGCTCTATTATCTGCGCCGTGGCGCAGAGCTCAACGATGCTGATAGTCGGACGCGCAATTTCCGGAATCGGCGCTGCCGGGTTGCTCAGCGGGGCGGCGGTGATCGTGTCCTACTGCGTAGCTTTGAGAAAGCGTGCCATGCTGCTGGGGATGATCTCGGCAGTTTATGGTGTCGGTTCGGTCTCGGGACCACTCATCGGGGGGGTCATAACTGATAATCCGAAGCTTACTTGGCGGTTCTGCTTCTGGATCAATCTTCGTCAGTCACTCGCTGTGAAAGGGGGGATCGCAAGAGCGTGGACTGACACATCACAGCATTCGGGGCGGTTGGACTCGCTCTGATATGGTTCGCTCTCCGCAACCCTCCCCCGGCCGTCAAAGCAGGATTACCGCCCAAGCAAAAATTACGGCAGCTGGACATGCTGGGGGCTACGGTGTTGGTCGGCTCGATAGTCTGTCTGTTGCTCGCACTACAATGGGGAGGAATCGTCTACCCATGGTCTAATTCTAAGGTTTATGGCTGCCTGATTGGATCTGTCTTGGTTTTGGCCTTGTTTATTGCGATGCAAATTAAAGACCGGAATAGGTGAGTTGCTCGAAGCGAGGCAAATGGGCAGGCTCCTTAAGTGACTGACGAAACTTAGCTGCACGATTCCACTTCATCTGTTTCGTAACCGTACAGTATCTGCCGCGAGCGCCTTCATGATGTTCCTTCAGCTGGCCGTTGTGGTACAGACTTACTACTGGCCAATGTACTTCCAATCCGTGAAAGGTGTCAGCGCCAGAGACTCAGGAATCCAGCTACTCCCACTGTGTATTTCCATGAGCCTGACGACTCTGAGCGCAGGATGGATCATCTCCAGGATCGGCTACTACGTTCCCTTCATGTGGGCCGGTGCTCCCATCCTCGCGATCGGAGGTGGTCTCTTCCAGATTATCCGAGCGGATAGCCCCTCGTCCAATTGGATAGGGTATCAGATTGTCAGTGGCATTGGCTACGGTCTATGCGGGCAGATCCCAATCCTAGCAGTGCAAGTTGTTCTGGACAAGGAGGATGTACCGACGGGCTGTGTGCTGATCATGTTCTTCCAATGCCTAGGGGGGGCTCTGGCGACGAGTATTGCCCAGAACCTGTTCACGGACAAACTGATGCAGAATCTACGGAAGGTCAAGGGTATAGACGGCGCCGCGGTGGTTGCTGCGGGTGCTGCAGACTTTAGGCGGTTGGTCGCTCCAGAAAGCTTGGCTAAGGTGATTGATGCGTACACGGGCGCATTAAAGACAGTGTTTTTGCTGGCCCTTGCTACTGCGGCGATTGCCTTCGTTGTGGGGTTGGCGATAGAATGGCGGAGATTGCCCCGGGACACCAAGCAGAGTGATTCCGCAGTGGCAGCAGCATAGGTGGCTTGCCAGAGATGTAGTGTGGGCAATCGAGGGTACTCGGCCAAGCGTCACCGCCATCGTCGCCTGCTTGTTTGCCAATATCGAGGCCTCGCTTCGCGTAGTCCGGTCCTATTTTGAATTTCCTAAATATAAATACTGCTTGAATTCCCGCCTAAATTGTCCTGGGATCAAAAAACTTCGATACCACCAATTTGAAGTCAATAGGCCATTTCTCACATGTAGTTTGCTAGATCCGTATACAGTGGAAGTTTGATTGACCCTCATCTGTTTTATCCAAGGAGGCATTGCAGCCACACCAGCCTGGCTATTGTCACACTCGCTTGGTTTCTGGATTGGTCACGTAATCATTCTATATCCCTTCAGGGGTTACTACTTCAAAATCGAGTAGTCTTAGTTAGGACCATACGATCGATAGCTATGTCTGCCCACGCAAGGGAGAGTGCCCCCGGGGAAATACCAGAGGGTGCATGAGGGCAGAGCCCCATCTGTTACCTCCACCCAAGCCACCTCTAAAGGCGCCCGGATGCAAGATGAGGTGATATGGATACCCTACCACGAATCTCACAAAGTAATGTGCAACAATCGAAGGGCATCCCATTGGACTACAGATCATGTGAAGACACTGATGCGTCCACTCCGAGGAGTAAGTTGCGATTTTGACTAATTCTATGAAGGTTCATGGTGTTGCATTAGCCGGGATGGTGTGGCTGTAGTCGCTCCGTTTATCCAACACCTGCTCTTTTTTGTTGAGAGGGCTTTCGCTTATGCGTAGCCCAGCTTCTCAGCCGCGACGTGTGCCATGGGTGAATAGTAAACACTCTGGTATATACCAGACCCGTCGCCCTTGTACGCCAGCGACAGCGCGTCGATGTTCCCCGATCCCCTGCCGTCAAGCCACGGGCTAAACTCTTGTTAGCGAACAGTTACATCACTGCAAATAAATCATTACTCACAATGTTTCCTGCCAATCGTGCGCATACTTATCAGCCTGGTGAGCCCAGCCTATACGTCGCCAGAACGCAGTGAGTCGCTCGATGATAGACTGGTCGCTGGGCATGAACTTCCATATCGTGATGTAGAATTGCGGTACCGGAAGCGCCGTCCCAGGCTTGAAGGCACAGTTGAACAGCACGCTACCCCAGCCTGGATGATATTCGGTAAGCTCCTGATCTTCTTCACCATCTTTAATGTCGAAAACGACTTCGTAGAAGGTACGCAGGAGGTCGACGCCCCTGGCCGTTGCATCGTCGTTGAGTAAGCCCCCAAGAGTGTAAAAATACTTGACGGAATTGAACGAGGACTTGAACGGGCGAATGTAGATCTTGATTCTGGAGGACTTGCCTGGCTTCACAACATCAAAGTTCAAGCTTTCAGGTGACGGCTCCCCCCCGAGATGACCAGGGAAAGACACCATGAATCTATCCCAAGCCGCAAGGGCTTCCTTATACAGCGGTCCAACTTCAGGGATTCCCGAAATAACTCGAAGCGCGAGTTCCTTCTGTGTGATTCCTAACTGCTTGCTCCTCCAGCTGAGGAACGGAGCGCACTTGCCAAGAATCTTTCCACTGCGCTCAAAGTCAAAGGCGAAGAAGATCTGCGGTGAGTGACAGTCCGGGAACGCTTGCTTCAAGCGGAGGGCTTCTGCGTCATCGAGCATGAGCGCCTCCCGCATGTAGTTGTATAGAGTCAGGTCAAATTCAGGATCTGCAGCTGCGCAGCGCATGACGAGGTCGTGCGCCGCTTTCTGGTTGAGCGGGTCCTCGGCGGTGCCAGAGCGCTCATCGCTGCATTCAATCGAGAAGCGAACGGTGGTCTCCGTGGTACCTGTGGTTCGCAAATTGAGACTAGGCTCATAAGTGGACCCGTCTTCGAGGAAGGTGGCCTTCCAAGGTCGACCACCAGGTTGCCCATCTGTCTTGAGGGGAATGGGACCCCATGCTGGCAAGGCAACGTCGTAGAAGTATGCGAGTGTCTTATAGTGCAGGCCTAGTGGGTAGCAAGCTTGAAGCATGAGTTTGCTTAGGACGGCGCCAGTGGTGTCCCACCAGTAACTATCCGTTTTGTCGAAGGAAAGGTGGGAGCGGATAATGTCGTGTGGTGGTCGAGAAGCGACAGATTTGTCTTTCAGAAGCCCCTCAAGTGCAGCGCCAGAAAAGGCAAAGCGAGCGATGTCAGGCTTTCTGGAGCTCGCCTCTCTAGAATGACCATTTAGGCCGTGGAGCTCTGCGACGTCTAACACCATTGTCGATTGCGATAGTTGTGTGAATAATATTGTTATGGAGATTATGCACAGCCGAGATATATTGGGAAGAACGGACTGATCTTTTTCGGGGAAGGTGATAACGGATCATGGAAAAATCTCCAGGAGGTTTCAATTGCCTTGCAGTCCCTTTCAGCTCGACAACCCCCCCGTGCTTATCAGACACCGATCTTAGACAAATTGACGGAGTGAAGGTCCGTCGTTGCCGGGGTTCCACGGCTGATTGCGGATAAATTCGTAGATGTGAGTTCAAATTATAGAGAGAACGATATGACAAGAATCTTTCGGTTTCCACAATACAACATGGGAGTTGGCCCCGCCGCTGACAGGGGCTGCTCCTTTGTATAATCTTGCCGGGGCAGGGGTTATGTTCTAGGCCCCCCATCGATATTGCACAACTGAGCGAATCCATACCCTGATTATGTCCGACTCCGAGATAGAGATAGTGTCCATGGCGGATTTTCACCATGAGCACCACGGAACCGTAGTCGCTGTAACTTCGTGGGTGATTATCCCTTGTCGGATGGCGTTTTTTGGGGGCCATTTCCACAGAGATGCTGGTTCAATTGGAAAATCCATAGTAAAAACAACGAAGCAGAAAGGAATATTGCCCGGGAAGACAGAAGATCTATAAATTATCTATACTTCCTTCTCAGCAACATTCGTCTTTTCCGTGTCACCAGCACTTACCTTTGTTTCCCCTTTCTCCTCACCATCAGTTCACCGACACCATGCCTCACGCAATACAAGACTTAGAGCCCATCGCCATCATTGGCATGGCCTGTAGGTTTCCAGGTGGAGCCAACAGTCCCGAAGAACTATGGCAAATGCTTGCAGATGGAAGAACAGGCTGGTCGGAAATCCCAGCCGACCGCTATACGTGGAGGTCTTTCCACCACCCGGATCCTAATTCCGAAGCTGCACACAACCAAAAGGGCGGTGGCTACATCGACCGTGACCTCGCTGCCTTCGATGCTGCATTTTTTAACATTCCTGCCGCAGAGGCGAATGGGCTAGATCCCCAGCAGAGAATCCATCTGGAAACAGCTTATGAAGCACTAGAGAGCGCCGGTTTGCCGCTAGATAGTGTCTGTGACTCCAGGACATCAGTTCATGTGGCGACTGTCAGTCGAGACTACGACCGCAACGCCTATCGAGACCCGCAAGATCTGGCGAAATATCAGCTTACTGGTTGTGGAGAGGCGATTACATCCGGACGAGTTTCATATACATTCGACCTGAGGGGGCCCTGTTTCTCACTAGATACCGGCTGCTCGGGGAGCTTGGTGGGCCTCCATCTTGCTGTGCAAGGACTCCGATCGAGGGAGACAGATATGGCACTTGTGGGCGGCACGAACCTACTCCTTTCGCCAGACATGACCATTGCTATGAGCAAGCTGCAGTGAGTCTAGTGTCCACCCCGATTTGCCCATGGCAATGAGCTGATTGCGTTGCAGTATGCTGAACGATGATGGTAAATGCTACGCCTTTGATGGCCGCGGGAAGGGCTACGCGCGATCCGAAGGCGTATCTACAATTGTGCTTAAGCGCTTGTCCGATGCCCTCGATGCTGGAGACCCAATTCGGGCCATCGTCCGCAATACTGGCATCAACCAAGATGGCAAGACAAATGGGATTATTCTTCCCAACTCGCAAGCACAGGAAGACCTGATGCGGTCGATACACTTGGATGCCGGGTTGAACCCGAGCATGACTAGCTACGTTGAGGCTCACGGCACGGGAACACAAGCTGGAGATAATGCCGAGATCAACTCAATTTCCAAGGTATTCTGCGATGGCATCGAGAGAAGCCAGCCACTCTTGGTCGGATCAGTCAAGGCAAATTTAGGACACTGCGAGAGTGCAAGCGGCTTAGCAGGTCTGATAAAGACGGTTCTAGCACTGGAGAAGGGCTTTATTCCAGCGACCCCAGACCTGCTCAATGTAAAAGAGGGCCTTGATCTGGCAAAACGGAATATTCGGATTCCGCAGTGTCTCGAAGAATGGTCAACAGCGGGGCTGCGACGGGCGGCAATTAATTCATTCGGCTACGGCGGGACAAACGTCGCAGCAATCTTAGACGCCTTTCAGCCCAATCAACGAAGCAATGGTGCCAATGCCCATGATGACATCCACGGAGCGATTGGTATCAATGGAGCGCATAACAAATGTACTCTCTTCGTCGTCTCAGCGAAGTCCCCTAAGTCCTTGGTCAGCAGCCTCAACAATCTGAAGCAATGGGTTGGCTCCCAGCTGCATCTCCCCTCAGAAAAGTTCCACCGACTGGCATACACACTGTCAGAGCGGCGCTCCAAATTCCCCGTCCGTACAAGCTTTGTTGCCAGCACAGTGGAGAATTTTCTCGCCGCCGCCTCGAGCGCAATTGATAGACAACCGGGAAGGGCAGCGAGCAAGCCTAAACTCACTCTGATCTTCACTGGCCAGGGAGCACAGTGGCATGCGATGGGCCGTGAACTTCTTCATACGCAGTCCAGCTTCGCCAGTTCCATGCGGGAGTCAGAAGAGATACTCAGGAACCTGGGTGTCGAATGGAGCCTGATTGAGATGTTAGCTCGTGATCAAGCCACATCTCGGATAAATGAGTGTGAGATATCACAGCCCGCTACGACAGCCCTTCAGATCGCGTTAGTCGATCTCCTAAAGAGTTTCTCGGTTCACCCAGACTCTGTAGTTGGACATTCCAGTGGTGAGATAGCGGCTGCGTATGCCGTTGGTGCGCTGTCACATTCTGGGGCTCTGTACGCTTCCTTTCATCGCAGCAAAGTCTCCCATTTAGTTAAGCAGGTAATCAGCACGCCTGGTGGGATGCTTGTCACGACCCTCAACGAAACCACCGCGTATAGTTACATCAACCGTATTGGCAGAAAGCGGTTATCACTAGCTTGTATAAATAGCCCAAGCAGCACGACAATCTCAGGCGACATGGATGCTCTCAATAATTTGAAAGCGCTCCTGGATCGCGAGTCTATCCAGGCAAAGCTACTGTCGGTCGATGTGGCGTATCATTCGCACCACATGAAGGCTGTGGAAGATCAGTATCTGAACGCGCTACAGGGTTTGGAAACGTTCGAGGCCTGTGAGGACATCCAGTTCTTCTCATCCGTAACTGGTGAGCTGAAGGTGTCTGGCTTCGGTCCTCACTACTGGGTGCAGAATCTCGTGTCCACGGTGCGATTTTCAGATGCTTTATTGGCATCCTGTGGAGGTTCAGGGCTACGACCTACGTCTCGCGTGATTATGGAGGTCGGTCCTCATTCAGCGCTCGCAGGACCTACAAAGCAAACCCTGACGTCGGGACCGAACAAGTTCGATCACAAGTACGCATCCGCCCTTGTCCGCGACAACAACGCGTACTCGACCGTCCTCAAACTCGCCGGGAAACTATTCGAGTTGGGCATAGATGTTGATATTGAGGCTGTAAACTCAATGAACGGCGGTGCAAAAATGCATAATATGGTCCTCGACCTACCCCCCTATGCATGGGACTATTCCAATCAATACTGGCACGAATCGCGGCTAAGCAAGGAATACCGCTTCCGAAAATATCCTTACCATGAGCTTCTAGGCTTAAGGCTCATTGGAAGCACCCCGCTGGAACCTCTCTGGAGAAACATCCTCAGCATCGACGCGCAGCCCTGGCTGTCAGAGCATGTCATTGATGGTTTCGCTATTCTTCCAGGCTCGAGCTTTCTCACAATGGCCATGGAAGCAGCACGTCAGCTAAACGACGAAAGGGGCGCTCGCAAGATCAAGCGGTTTCAATTGAAGCAAGTGAACTATTCCAAGGCCATCATGATCCCCGAGTCTCCTGGCAAAGTTGAGGTCATGATAAGCTTTTCGGCACTATCTGCCCATGGCACCAGTTCATCCCAATCATCGAACTGGGAGAGGTTTCAGATCACGTCTTCAGCAGACGCACAGACATGGAGTCTAAACTGTGTGGGGCTTATCAGGCTCGAACCCGAAACCGAACGGAACGAGGTTGACGGAGGCCGTGAAGAACTGCAAGGACTGTCCGATCTGCGGAATCGCTTGCAGCAGACCAGGGAAACCTGCACACAGCCCATCGATCACAATGCGCTATACGAGGAAATGCGCCGCAATGGGATCGACTACGGTAATAATTTCGCGACGATCAAGGAGCTACTCATCGGCGAATGCCAGGCGCTCGGGAAAGTTGTCATCCCTGACGTAGCGCAGTGTATGCCGTCCCGATATCAACAGCCGCATACTATCCACCCGGCAACGTTTGATGCGCTGATGCACATCGTTCTGCCATTGTACTTCCGCCACTGCACTGTTGGCACGGCAATGCTGACTTCCATTGAGGAAGTTACTGTTACGGTGAGACGCCCTAGCATTTAGAATGTAGATGTTTTGTAGAGCATGAACTCACCACCCACCTTACAGGCTGATATCACGACTAAACCTGGAAGTCAACTTGATGTATGCGCTGCTCTCTCACCCTCAGGGCCACGGTCCGGTTCAGTTGATGTCGCTGCTTTTCAGAAGGATGGTGAGTTTCGCCGGGTATACCTAGTGCCAGGGAGATATATCGATACTGATATGTTTCATTAATAGGGGATGAAACCATACCCGTAGTCGTCCTGCGCGGCCAGAAATTCCAAGGTATCGCAACTAGCGTATCGTCTGCGCCAACAACATATATTTCACGTCCGTTGCACAGGGTCCAGGAACCACTCAAGATGACTATCGCCACGCCAGGAGTAGTGAGTAGCCTATGCTTTGTCGCGGACGAAATTGCACGAGCTCCTTTGCGACCGGACGAAGTCGAGATCAAGGCTCTGGCATTCGGGTTAGATGTTGGAGACGTGGATGTGATCCTTGGCAGAAGCGGAGACTCCGTGAGCATTGGGGAGTGCGCGGGGACCATCACTGCCGTGGGGTCTGCCTTGACGCACTCTTTTCAGATCGGCGAACGAGTTTGCGCCTGGAACACCAGTGTTGTCTTTGCCAGTAGGTATGTGGGAAGTTAATCCTCCACGCCCCTTCCAGAGTTATAACCGATTGGTTGCTCATTGCTTTTAGGACACGAGTAAAAAGCGCTTTCGTGCAGAAGATCCCAGTATCATGGTCTTTCAAACTCGCCGCGGCTCTTCCGCGGAACATTTCGCTCGCTTATCACTGCTTACGTTCCTGTGCTCAGGTTGAATCCGGGCAGATTGTGTTGGTTCATAACGCAGGTGGTGCTCTTGGACATGCGGTGGGACTTGTTGCAAATATTCTTGGCGTCCGGGTGGTGGCAACGGTCAGGACAAAAGCAGAGAAACATGCTCTACAGTCTTTCACCGCTATACGGGCAGCTCATATCCTCTATTCGGAAGACGTGGCACTTCCAAAGGCTTTATTACGTTTAACCGAAGGTGCAGGTGTTGATGTACTGTTCAACGCTTCATCTACAGCGCTTCCCGTCGACTTGGCCGTATCAGTAAAGGCATTCGGCACAGTTGTTGATCTTAGCCAACAGTCCACATCCTTCGCGATCGCAGATCGCGCTACCAAATACATATCCTTAGATATGGTGCAACTTCTAAGACACATTCCTACCCAGGCAAGCGCAGCGTTCAAGACCGTACTATCGTTGCTACCAGATGGCGACGTGAACGATCTGGTGCCTCTGAGTGCAGTGCCTATATCCGATGTCGCATCCGCATTCAAGGCTGTGCAAGATCACAAGAACGTTGGGAAAACGGTGTTGCTCGCGGGAGAAGATGCAGTCGTCAATGTTCAAGAAGCTGTCGCGTCGACAACTCTCCTCACAAATGTCGATCGCATCATCAAAGCCGTCAACGAGCTCTCTGTGTCGCAAGACCAAAAGCAGCTTTTACTTGATTTAATCAGTCATCCTGGTACGGCCGCGGCTGATGCAGCATCTGCCGTCAAGAGCAGCGGGGCCTCCTTATCAACCTCCAGCGGGAGGATGGGAGTAGGACGGCGCCTCGAAGCTACTACAAGCCTGCAAGAAGCTCGGACAATCATTCTAGAGGAGCAGATCAAGAAAGTATCCTCTCTTGTATCTGTCAATGCACAGCAGCTGGACCTCAATGAATCTCTAGCTGACCTCGGCCTTGATTCTTTGATTGCGATAGAATTCAAGAATTGGCTCGCACAGAGTCTGGGAGCCGATGTTAGAGTCCACGACATTCTTGATGCCAATAATCTGGGAGAACTAGCTGATCTAATGGCACAACGATCCAAATTCGTTCCGGGTGGGTTGCCAGAGAGGTCTGGTAAGACTCTCTCGCTCAAACAGGTTGACGAGCGGCAACTGCCATCGAGTGGAGGACAAGAGGCATCGAAACTCCAGCAGAGCGACACCGGCATTGCAATCGCGGCGAACAATAACGCAACCCATTCAACCAACTTGACGAAAAACGATCAGCTACAGCCATCAAACCAGGGACATTGCTCGACAGCTAATAATCGTCCGAAATTTCCCTTGCCTCCGTTAGATGCAATACTAGATGCCTACCTTACCGGTGTCAAAGCTTTCGCAACCCCGGAAGAATTCGAGAACACCGCTCGTCTCGCTAAAGAATTCAAAAAACCAGGCAGCAAGGGAGCCCGCCTCTACGATCTCGCCGTAGCTCGACACACAGACCCGGATTGCGAAAACTGGGAGCATGAACTGCAACTCCATGCTGGTTTCCTCGATCGCAGGTCACAGCTCGTTTGGTCTAACTTCTGGTTCAGTCATCCACTCAGCAAGCGTCAGCATTCACAAGCCGAGCGCGCTGCTCTGCTTACGTTGACGGCGACCCAATTCAAATTGAGGCTAGAGGCGGGATTGGTCAAGCCCATGGTGCTTAATGAGCAGGAGCTGACGACTGCGTATCGTCCATACATCTTCAACAGTGTACGGATACCGCGCGTTGGCAGTGATGAAATCCAAAGGGACCCAAGTGCCAAGTATTGCGTGGTATTTTGGCGGGGGCATGCATTCCAATTAGATCTTCTTGTGGGAGGTCAGCCGGCGGCGTTGATTGACTACTTTCAAGCGTTCCGCTCCATCTTAAGTCAAGACCTAGACCGCTCCAACTTGCCAATATTCACATCGGACTACAGACCCTCATGGGATGAGGCAAGGGACGAGCTTCGGCGATTGGATCCAGTGAATGCTGCCAGCATCGCCACCATTGAATCATCGGCTTTCATCGTGGCGTTGGACGAAGCTACGCCTTTGACGGCAACCGAGCGAGCAAGGCAGTTCCATTTCGGAGGCCACAAAGATGCTGCAAACCGCTGGCAGGATAAGTCTATCCAGTTCGTAGTTTGCAGCAACGGGGCGTCCGGTTTTATCGGTGAGCACAGCATGCTGGACGCTCTGACGCTCACTGAGCTTCTGGATGATCAAGCGACAGCCATCCGCAGCCATGCTCCACTGGACGACGCGGTTATTCCTGAATACCCAGCCCTCACTCCTATGTACCTGCCCCTCGAGACCAATTCAGCACTCGAAACGCGTATTCTCAATGTTCAAAGGCAGTACGCAGAGACGACAGAAGACGCGGAACACGCATACCTACTCTTTGAAGGCTACGGCTCAGCCTTCTTACGGGCGCACAAACTGTCCCCGAAGAGCGTCTTCCAGATGGTCGTCCAGCTAGCCGCTCTGGCCACATTTGGCTTCACGCCTCCATGTTGGGAGACGGTCAACCAAGCACACTACCATCTCGGTCGCGTCGACATTATCCAGGTGATAGTGCCCGCAGTCGCGCGCTTTATTCAAGCCGCCGGGGACTCCTCCATTCAACTGTCTAAGCGCCGCGTTCTTCTAATCGAAGCGATCCGCGCGCATGTGAACACGATCAACAAAGCTGGACGCAACCTCGGATGGGAGCGCAATCTAACCGCTTTAAAGACACTAGCAGTGACTCCAGAAGACGTTCCTGAGCTATACCGAGACCCTGTATACAATAAAGTGCGGCCTCGGCTCCTAACTAGCCACTGCTTCGAGACAGGAATGATGGAGAAGGGGCACATTTGGAGGGATCCCAAGGCCATCTGGTCACACTATGAGGTCTATGATCAGAGGTGAGTGCACATCAATTTTGCGTGGCGATCAAGATTGAATGCTAATAGAATTGCGGTAGTGTGTACTTTTCTGTTGTCACTCTGGAGACCCATCGTGCAAGTCGCTTCTGTAAGAATCTGGAAGAGGCGGCGGGGCTGATGAAAGAAATTATTGCTGCAGCAGAGAATTGATAACTCCGTATGATCCACGATTCCGCGAGGATGGAATTGACGGACTGGGGCAAATAATGATGACCGTGTGGAATAGATGCAGTTGGTGGTGAGACAACGGAGACACGCATGATAAAACCACCCGGTTACTTGAGTACCCCCCTGGGCGTCTAACATATTCTGGCCAAAGGTAGTGTTGATTTCGGTAGTATCTATAATCCACTGGGTGTAATAAAATGGGCAAGACATATACGTGGACGAATCGGGCAGCCGGCCCTGGTGACCAACTTTATTGCGGTGAACCAATTCAACCAACCAACATTAATTTAATCATTCTTTCCAGCTCTCTATACACCCCCCCAGTAGTCATGGCCTCGTAATTATTCTACGCTATACACAGACCTCTCTAGTCACTACACAGTGGGTTCTGGCTGCTACTAGGCCCTGTTCATACAGCATTGGAACCAAAGCTCTGACGAGATATTGCATGATACGCTACAAAAAAAAAGACCTACATGGCCTTCAGTAATCGTTCGCCGTGGCTACCAGGATCTTGTCATGAACGATTCTATATAATAAAAACCCATTTATATATTTCTAGCTAAGTCCTGTGTGTCTTAATTTCCTGATCAACGAAAGTGAATCCACATTTCTGATTACCCGAGGTATATATACCTAGACCAATGGATTTGGCTAACACTACTCCGGGGTATATTATTAGTTTAGACCCACAAATGGGAATTTCTTTGTGTTATAACATGTCGCAATATAAAAAAGTGCATAAAAGGGTACCCACGGAGCTCAGAAGTGTCTAGATATCTTTCGTAGCCGAGTGGTATTCTTTGCAACATAACACAATTTCCTACTTGATATCATAGCCTAAAACAACCACATGGATGGTGACGGGAGTTTGTCACACATCATATAAACAGGAGGCTCGGTCGCTGGGTGTGGGTGTCCCCAAATGGAAGGGTGACGAGTGACAGGTAAGTCTGTTTACACAAGTGTTGGCAGCCTGCAGGAGCCTGGCCAGTTTTATAACTCCTGAAGATGTTTTTAAATGTGTTGAATTTTATTTTTACGTTTCTTTTTATTTCTTATTTACGGTCGATCTCTCCTTGTTGCCTCGGAGGCTGTGGAGTATATAAACCGTATGATGTGATATCCTTTATTGATAATACATTCTTCTTGACACCACTATCTCTCTCTTTCCTATCCTCTGACTACAGGGTACGGGAAATATTCCCCCCCTCCTCCCGCTTTTCTTGCTCCAAAGGTTTCAAGTCTTCTCATCTCAAACTATGGATCTTGCCACCTTAAATTTTCAGCTTCCCGAGGCAGGCTCGGTAGCGGTTCTTTTCCCCTTCTGCCACTGACTCATTTAGGAAATCAGTCATGGTCGCCGGCTTGTCATTGCAAAAAAAGCCGAGTTGATATATATACGTTAACCTACCGTGCTTCAACTAGAACTCACCCGATCGCTCTTCTTAAACCCGATTCCAACTATTGGTACTCTTTGCCCTCGGATAGAAGTGTGTTGGCTCAAATGGTTTCTACCACTGAGTGTCATTCTATAAAACCTATCGCTCTAGCTTTTGGCTGGACTAATTGTGGAGATTGAGCCCAAACGCGACGACAAGAACCACAAAAAACTGGGCGAAGAAAAACATACAACAGCCGGGATTCGCATGTGGTCACCCACCATACTACTAACCGGCCGGCGTGTGGCTTAAGTACGGCTGAGCGGACGGGAAGCCCTGTTTTCCACACCCTATGGTCGTATGTGATGTGATAATGCTAATATAAAGGCTTGATCTTGATTGTAGACCAGGGTATTGATAAGATGTGCCTACTATCTTTAAACTTATTTTCTAAACAAACTTGATGAATCTTGATAACCTGAGCTTATTTTCTAATAAGTTATACATAAAACGTATATATTTCTTCATACTAGCTAATTCTTATGACTTTTCTTATATCTTTAAAAGTAATAAGGTAATATAGCAGGTTGATAATCAAAATATACATATCGGTGAGTCTTAACAAGTTCTATCCCTATTTACTCCTAACCTAGTAAAAATAACATCACAGCCAGGTTCGCATTTTGACCTGTTCACCTGTTCTTCTTTCCTGCTTCTAGGCTGAAGAATCAATCATTCTTCGCATTCTTAGTAGCCTTACTGCGCATCTTCATCATTACCCCAACCATCGCGTAAGAGCTAATGCAAAACAAGGGCGTAATGCCAGTCTACAATTGTAAGTTTCAGCACCCTATCTCGGATTTGCAAGGAAAGATTAGACTCACGTCTCCCCAAGCATAATATTTCTCCATCAAGTTGAATGTTTTGGCGTAATCTGCGCCCGTAGAGTATTGACAAAACTCGCAGTTCGTAGCCGAGCTATTAACCAGATAGCTCGTCCGCGCAGTGATAAAATCTGCCATTTCAGAGCCGCAGGTTTGACCCACGGGCGCAGCAAACTCCGAGGGTTCACATTGGACCTAGACATCCCAGAGGACTTCACCGAGGAGTCCACCGACAAGATACGTGAAGGGATCCAGGTAATACATCCAATTGTGCTTTTTCGGGCAATTTGCTTTTTTTTTTTTTTTTTTTTTTCTCCCCGATTGCGAAAACAGGGCAGGAGAAGGTAGACATACCCAAAACGGTCTAAGAGCATCATAGGGCACAACAACATGACCAAACCGGCACCTATAATAACCGGGTTTGTACTTGCGGCAAAGTATTCATTTGGCCCATAGGCGGCAATGGCCTGGCCAATCGAGGTGTAAAGGAACTCATAGAAGATCATTCGTAGGTAGAATTGGCCTGCGACATTAGAATTGTTTGGAAAGCTGGCCGTGTAGTAAACACAGAGGAGGTAGAGCGTCGCGCAGACAATCAGATAAGGATTTCTGAAGTAATTTGAGCGCCGATGAAGGCAACTCAAAGGCAGGTTTTGGACTGAAAAGGTTAGTCGATTTTTCATTTTGTGAAACAATGGGCAAATACCTTTTTCTCACGAGCCTCAAAGATGTCTCTGTTATGCAGGAAGAAAGGTTGCATTTGATTAATGCATCCTAGAGCCATAAGCACAAAGTTAAAGATATAGAATAGATGCAATTGCAGAGCAAAAGCTCTGTTGCCAACTTTCCAGAATGTAAAACCCGACAAAAGTGAGGCGAAGATATCTAAGATGATCTTATTCCACATGTAATCCTCGTAGTGGTTAGCAGACATCGGTGCTTCGAGTCTATGGGAAAGGGGAGCATACAGGCGACCGCCACAACTGAATCATCAGCCTTTCGAGCACTATGCGGTACTGAAACCATTTGGTAGTTGCGTAGTCCACTTGATCTGCTTTTTAAGGAGTGCTAATTCTGCTGGTCTCATTGAGAAAGTCGAGTTCCGCAATGGCTAGTGCCTGCTCTTTCGAATTGTTCCTCACGTCAACCCAGTCGATTGGGTTCTCAGTATCTCCTTGGATGACCTCCACGATGTCATCCCAAGCTGTAGCTAGTCCCAATGTGCAACCTACTACTGTCCAAGCGGACCATCGAGGAGACTGGAAAACAGTTCGATGCCCTCCGCACGGTATGTATCCGGAACCATGTATGCCGGCACAGAAGCATTGCCGTCAAACATGATGACACCCGGTTCTTCGGCGCGATAAGCAGACCAATGCACATCGGGCTCATCCCCGAAATGGTTCGGATCCAAGGTGGTAACGAAGCTGATCCACATCCGGGAGACCAAATCCGCCAGGCGTGAGAGTCTCTGCCTGTCCTCAGCCATGGGATCCTGCGTGTATGGCAGGCCGGGTATATTCTCATAGCCAAGCCCTATGGTATTGTACATGACGAAGGGGATCTCAATGAAGTGAAAAGACGGCCATTTATCACTTCCCAGATCGAAGTGATATCCGTAGCTGGGGATATTGTTAAGAGACCAGATCTGGTTAGCCAGCCGTCGTGGTGCATGGATATTGCGGTCAGTGAAGATTGTCTCCGTACGACGCACGACGGGCTCGCTGACCGGATCCAAGTACAACTCGTACAATCGTCGCACGGTCGTGGCGTCCAGGCCCCAGCTTTCCACCATGCTCCTGAATCGATCGGTCGTGTTGACGTCCTTCGGTGCCACGGTCCACCCCTCGTCGGTGTTGGCCCCGTGGAGAAAAGGGACCTTGACAAAGGAGCCCTTGCGCAGGAGCGTCGTCGCGCTCTGGACGAGAAAGTCGCCGTCAATAACGGGGCCGAAGGCGGCGCCTTGGGTCAGGGACCCGTTGAACAGGGTGTTTAGTCGGGCCGTGGGGACGTCGCGCAGGCAGTTCAAAATCCCGGCGCTACCATGGCATTGTGCCGCACGGGCGATCGCATCAAAGTAGGGTTGCCAGTCGTCAACCGTCTGGTATGGATGGTAGAGGGTGGGCGCGCCACTCTCGCCGATGGCTGCGCGGAAGAGACCATCGTCGCGGCCACCATACGCGACCAGGTGCGTTCCGACACTGTTGGCCCCGGCACTCTCCCCCCAGATGGTCACCTTGGATGGATCGCCTCCGAACGCGGCGATATTCTCCTGCAACCAGGCCAGGGCCAACCGTTGATCGCGAAGGCCCAAATTGCTCGCCCCCGCTTCCTCCATCTCGCGCCCCCACAGGAAACCCCAACCATGCAGGCGGTAATTCAAGCTCACCCCCACCATCGGCCGGCCCATGGCTTCTGACTGGCCAACTATAAAGGAAAGGTTGTAGCGTGGGTCGCGCGACGCGCCCTCGGCGTAAGCGCCCCCGTGTATCCACACTAGGGACCCGTCAGCATCCGATGGAAACGCTGGAAGGGCTAGATTGATCAACGCTACCTGCAACGGGGACCCTTGTGTGAGGTGGAAGGCCAGACGGCCGCACGATGTTCAGATACAGGCAGTCCTCCGACATGACCGTATGATCGAGCGCCAGTCCATCATCACCGTACCCAATACACCCGGGAGAATAAGTCGTAGCAGACCGAACGCCGTTCCACGATTCATTAAGCGGCTCGGGTATTCGAAATCGCAGGTCTTGAACCGGAGGCTGCGCGTACGGGACACCCAAAAAGAAATCTTGACCATGGTTCGTACTGTGCACGCCCGCGTAGGACCCATTCCGGGTCTGCGCTGTGGGGACTCGCCCGATGCATGGCAGGACGACGGACGCCCACATCATCCAGCGGATCATTGCCTTCGCCTCACACATCGTGATAGAGTTATCTCGCACTTACTGAGAGGCTGAGAGCAAGAGGGTGGACAATACTGACTGGGCATGGAGCCAAGTACACTAGTTGACGCGTTTGGTAATGCTACCAAATTGAAGTGCAGTGAATCTCGTACAAGTGGCGGTCAAGGGATATAAATACCGCTATGCCAAGGGCCAAGCCATTGCGGCCGTAGTGAATGTAATCGGCTAGTACGGAGTACACCAGGTAATTTGCAAAATTTCCATGCAACCTTTATCCTTGGTCCTCTAGAATACCCTGTGATTTCTATGGTTTTCGTAAACACATCACAATCATCGTTATTGTGATTATCTCTTTCGGCGATAACCCCCAATAATGGGACCAACCCGTGGATCCTACAGGAGGGTTGGATTTCCGCATGCCAAGCATCTAAAGTTCTGTCACACTTACGATAGATACGGCCTGTGTTGTCATCAAGTGGCAAAGTACTTCCAAAGGCTGTTTTGATGTACCAGTTGGAATAGCAATCTGTTACTATCAGAAATCGATTCATCATTGCTATATTGGAAGTGATATCTTGACAACTCTTAAAAGTTTGATTGATGGGGTTGTATGTTTCTAGTCATAGTATATTTTGGGTATCGAAGATATATATATATATGGGGCACATTGAAAGCCCAGACTTTTATTCAGTGAACGATCCTTGGTAGAGTAGACCAAGATATCAGTAGGGAGTCTCTCCTTGACCTTATCATATAGTATTCCAACAAGCGTATTATTCCATAACATTACTGTCTATGGGAACGCAGCGATGATAGAGAATATGTGTCACTGACTATTGTTATTTAATCTCCGGCGGCAAGCATGGTAGCCATTTGGATTACTAATAAAGCGCTTCCTTGATTTTCATGAAAGGTAAGAATAAAGTTCGGTGGTTGAAAAATAACCACGGTGTGGCTTTGGATAAGAGTGGACGATGGAAAATATCCAGAAGGGGAAGGTGGGGGGGACGGGAGACGACATCACAATGATGTCAGCCCTAACTGGCCAGACCCCTCCCACATATTGAGGTCAATTAAAAGGCGACACTCGCCTGTCAACCCAAACACTCCATTTCTTCCTTGTCACTTTGACCTTAAATAGTATAACAGTATTATAATGGCTGCATCCCAGATCGCTAATCTCGTGGAAGGTTTTGTCGGACATGACGATAATGCCAATGTGACGACCGACATCAGTAATACCAACAAGGTGGAGGGTGCCCAGGACACTGGGGAGAAGATCAAGGCAACCGTCTGGGCGGGAAAGAATAAGGTGGAAATTGGTGAGAATTCTCTGGAAGAGGGCACTGAGTTTATGCCATCCACCACGCTAAGAATACGTAGTGGACATGCCCAAGCCCCGGGTCATTGACCGAAGAGATGCCGTGATCAAGGTGACTGGATCAACCATCTGTGGAAGCGACCTCCATCTGTATCATGGTAAGTACTTTGCCATTCGCCTCCTATTGGTGTGAATATAGAACAGCTAACAATAATTAGGCGTAATACCACAGCTGGAGAAAGGCGATGTGTTAGGCCACGAATTCTGTGGTGTTGTTGAAAGTATTGCGCCCGATGTTAGTGGCTGCAAGGTGGGCGACCGCGTCGTGGCTTCGTTTCCAATTGCCTGCGGGCAATGCCGGAATTGTCAAATGGAATTGACATCGGCGTGTGAACGGACGAATTCTAACACTATCACCAATGCAATGTATGGCAAGCGAACGTCGGGTACGTTTCACTATATGCCCATGGATTGGATGGGAATCTAACACTTGATTCAAGGTATCTTCGGGTACAGTCATTTCACGGGTGGGTTTGCAGGCGGACAGGCAGAATATGTCCGTGTTCCCAATGCCGATGTGAATCTTTTGGTTCTGCCTGAAGATGTTCCTGATGAGAAGGGCTTGTATCTGTCCGATGTACTGGCCACCGCCTATCACTGCGTGGTGGACACTGGGGTCAAAGAGGGTGATACGGTTGCAGTATGGGGTGCTGGTCCCATTGGCCAGATGGTCGTGGAATTCAGTTTCCAGCAGGGAGCCAGTCGAGTCATCCTGGTCGATGGTGGAAACGGTGCCTGGAGACTGGAATTCGTCAAGAGCAAGATCCATAACGTCGAGACCCTCAATTTCACCGATCTAACCAGGAGGGAATCCGTGACCTCCAAACTCAAGGAAATGGTTCCTGGTGGGGTTGATGTTGCTTTGGAATGTGCTGCCGGCGAGTATGCCAAGGGGTGGACGCATTATCTAGAGATGCTGTCAGGAGCCGAAACCGACACGTCGGAGATCTTAAACGAGATGATCACATCTGTGAGGCCGTTCGGACGGATTGGGGTAACTGGTGTCTATGCTGGCTATGTAAGTGATATAGACTCAACTGACTTAACATTGATGTCTGACCAGACCAGACAAATCATTTCAACATTGGTGCTATCATGCAGACAGGCATCCGATTCATTGGCAATGGCCAGGCACCCGTCCAGAAGTACTGGAAGCATTTGCTCGAGCTGATACGGGAGCAAAAGATCAATCCACTTGACATGGTCACCCATGTTGTGCAATTGACTGACGTGCCAAAGCTTTATAAGCTATTCGAACAGCGCACAACAGGAATGCAGAAGGTCTTCGTTCGGACTCGCCACTCTCTTCCTCCCTCACCAGAAGCTCCAGCATTGATTGACTTGGCAAATGTGGCATAAAGAAAAATTTGATCAACCCAATTTACAAAATTGTTTGAAAAGCAGTGTCGAGTTAGACACAGTCCACTTCTTGTATTCTAGAGCCCAAACTATTACATGGCTGGACATAGCGTGTCATGATGTGACTGTCCTCTCACAATTACCCAAAGTGGGATGGCCCAACCATTTGGGCCACCCAGTGGTGAGCCCACATTAGCTGATCATGTCTACATTATATCACATTTCTTATTGCTTCCCGGGTACGGCTTGCCCGGGCCCGCACACAATCTCTTCAAATTTCCATCCTTCAATGGCCTCTGCATCTTTTTATTCGCCAAGTCCGCGGCTAGAAGGATCATGAGTTCGGGAAGTGTATAAAAATGAGAAGGACTGACATACCAACGCAGAACAGGGCCACAGAGTCGGCATTATTATACATCTTAAGACCGAGCGGGGGACTGGCACATTTTTGCCATCCATACAGCGTCGATCCATCCGGGCCCTTCATATCTGCCGTCATACCACCATTGGCCGTGTGAGAGAACTGTAACCTTGGTTAGCATTGGCTTAGATGATATGACATGTGGTGATGGCCAACCTCATGGATAAGAGTACGCTCAAATGTGTAAATCGTATCTAGCCAAGTCTCCTGCGTTGGCTTGAAATCATAATGATCCAGATTCATCTTGGCCCATTTCGCGTCATCCCATTTACTGAGATCCTTTTGAACATCGTCTCGTTCCATCAATTTCAACCACCAGGGGCAAAGTTGAATGAAATCCTGACTATTTGCCGAATCCTCCCCCTCAAATCTGCTGGAATAGCCGGTGATCTTCTTTTCATTCATACAAGTGACGAGCATCCCGTTTGGGTCATCGTCGATCTTGTTTGTCAGCTTGTTTCTGTAAGCATCCGGCTCTCCGGCTTTGACAGAGGCGATCTTTTCAAATCGGTCTAGGTCGCAGAAGATTATCTGTGGATATCAGTGGTTGAGATATGTAGATTTAGGACAGGTGGGGCTGACCGGGTCCCGCATATCTTTGACACCGGCGTCTCTGCCCGAATTCAAGGTCATCGACTTGGAGACTTTTTGCAACGCCTCTAGAACAATAATGCTATAGTTAGTACTTAGTGAAATTGTTATCAAGGGGACGAACCAACCTCTTGGCTTGCCAAGCTCCTTAAAGGGGAGCTTGGGGAATAGCATATCCCGAATGCTGTACGTTTCGTCGTCGTTGTCTTCAAGCATCTTGACTGCATTATCCACCAAGCTTAATGCTTTGGGAAGGCCCTTTAATAGGCGATCTTTTGTTTTTGGGTGTCCTGCATGGCGTTAGAGTGCTTGACTTTAGGAAGGTATGAGGAAACAAACGGTCGCACGATTCTTCGTCCAGTCTCCAGCCATTACCGGTTGTAAAAAGATTGAAGGCCACCAGAGCCAGAAGAATCACCGATTGTAACAATGCCATTGTATGGACGAAGAGGAGTTGTGAGGGGAGGAATTCGATGTTGCTCTGTGCCGGAATCTTCAAACCGATCCCCATTCAAGTCTATATACTCGTCATGGGATCCCGCCGGATGAATGAGAATTGTCCAGTCTGCCTTACGAAGGAAACTGACACCTGCGCCTCAAATTTTGGCCCCAAAGCTTGGCGGGGGGTATACTAAAATTGGCACTCGCAACAATGAGAATTCTACTTGTGAAGTTCATGTTCGAATAGTTTGTAGACCTATATCGCCATCAGAGTTTAATGATTGGTCGATGGAGAAGTATTCCAGGTACCATCCTGAGTGGGTCTGATTAGGGCTTATAGAAGACAGACTTGCGGGATTAATTAAGTAGTAATCACTAACAGCAGTAGTCAATTAGATTGGCCCTAACTATAGCAACCGAAGCTGCAGAACCCAATTGCTGTGTTTGGCCCCCATTGTCGCACGGCCGTGACGGCCCCCACAGCCATCGGAAAATACATTACGTTCCTGAACGGACCCAGTTCTACTCTATAACCATCAGCACTAGTACTAGTAAATATCCTGCACGCTAATTTTGTAGACCATCATCAGCGCCATTGGAGCAAGGGTTCCAAAGCTACGCGAAAATAAACCACAACGCTAAGGAATCTAGGTATCTTCCGCCGGTTGCATGCGAGACCCATTGCTCTGCACTAACTACGGAGTCTAATAATATGCATTTTGGCCCCAAGTTACGCACTGGCCCCCGCGATTGCTAGCACATTAGCTGTTACCGGCATCAAGGGGCGGGATTCAACCGACCCGCTAGCAAAAAGTAAAGTCTGCCTTGTCGCTGGAACATCTGTGGACCTTCTGCCGTTGGGGTGTTTTCAAGAGAGCATCGTACCTATATCAGGTCTTGCGGCCGCCGTAAGATGATTGACCTCCTATCCCTCTCTTCACGTCTTTAGCTGCACCCTTCTACTTTGCAGCCAAACACCATGGTGAATCTATTCTCCTCCCTTCTAGCTTCCGGCCTTGCAGCCGAGCTTGCATGGGCAGGGTCGGTGCCCTACCACCCAAGCGGTTGGTCTGCCGCAACATATTGCCCCGCCACGTAAGTGACCTACTCAAATATTGGATAAACAAAGCCGCTAATAGGGTGTTATGTAGGCTCGGAATGAAAAAGTGGCACTGTGATGACAAGTTCTGCGGTGGAGAGAACCCCGACGATAAGGGCCATTGCAAGCTGGTCATTCTGCAACGACTCCCCACGGGCTATAACGGCCAGGAATTACAGCAGCCTATGGGATGGGAATACACAAAAGCTTGCGAGTGCACCACCGGTGATAAGGATGGTCACGATGGTGTCTCGCCCATCGTAGGGCTGATACCCTGGATCCCCCCCATCGGCTTTCTATTTCCGCCCGCTGGCGTCCCTCACCCCAAGAAGGCGGACACATGTCCTGAGGACTATGCCAAGGTCAAATGCAAGGACTGTAAAGCGTTGAAGAACTGGTGTACAGCAGGTGATCATGCAGGCTGTCCGTGTACTGACGATTGTCCTGCTGACGGGGATGACAACATGCCTGATTGTGACGATGACGCCTGTCAGGGTGTCGACGAGAAATGTGCGGTGGTAAGTAGTGGATGGTTGCCCCATGCACTGTGATATCCAACTAATCTTAACCCAGGGTCTCCACAAGGACTGCAAATGCAAGGATAGCAAGCCCGGCTGTCCGAATTTGGAAGAGAAATACCTGAACTGCGGGGCCGACTACTGTAAGGGAGAGAAGAAGGATGGGGATGATGAGACCAAATGCACGGCTGTAAGCTAAACATCTTCCACTCTACCTCGATCATATCACTGACGACCTGATAGGAAGGGGAATTTAACGAATGCGAGTGCAACCCCCGAGACAGGGGTATCCATTTTGCTGGAGGGGAAGAGACTGAAGCTACATTGGGTGATCTGAACAGCCTTCGGCAGAAAATACTTAGGTTTGCCGAGGAGGCTGACAGCGAAATCATTGGCACCACTTGCGGGGGCGACCCGACTGAAACAGTCGACATTGATACCGGCTTCATGGAGAAGATGGTAGACAAATTCTGCGGCGGTGAAGATGACGATGCCCGACTTTTTAACTCGATGATTAACTCAAATGAGTACGGGGAATACAACTTCCACTTCACTAGGAAGGTGGGCAAGGGGTGCAAGACATCCTGCAAGGATGCTGTTATGGACTTGATCAAAAAATGTGAGTATAGAACGCTCTTTGCAACTGTCACCAATACTAAATCAACACTTATAGGCGAGCCAAACAGTCACTCTATCCGTTCCAGTGCCGAAGGTACAATTGACAAGTGTGGTGCTTCTTATTCGTACAGTATCACCGCGGGCGAAGGGTGCTCTGACGATGCCACTGGACTCCCAGGGACGCTATTCCGAGACACTCTCACCGACGACTTCTGTGGGGCTGTGGACGAGAAGAACAAGCTAGTATGGGCTGTCGATAGCTCGGGGAAGAAGAGCAATTTCATCAAGCGCGATGTCCCGCACTTCCTTGAAAAACGTACCCCTCCAGTCAACTCCAAGTCCTACACCAAGTTCAAGACCACACTGATGTTTGCGCCAACCGGTGCCGGAACCTGCACCAAGAGCTGCAAGGATGCGTTCTACAAAATCTCCCAAGGAAAATGTGGAACTATGGGCAATGAACAAAATATGATGGCCACGAATGGCGCTTTGGACGTGGGCTGTGGCACCTACTCTTACGAAGTACGTTGGACGGGCCAGAAAGAGATCCAGAAACAACACTGTCACGGCAAAGACGAGTTCCCGGGCCACACGGACACGCAGACAAGCGAGGGTGTCTGGAAAGACCTACTTTGGAAGGCCTGCGGAGCATCAAAAAGAGAGGAATTGAAGGTCATCAAGGGCAAGAAGACAGATGTCGACTATGTCGCGACAAAAGAATCTGGCAACTTCAATGACCCGCATGACTACAAGTTCTCAGTGTATTGGGTGGACGGTTGTGAACTGGATGGTGGAGACACCGAGCAGTCACACACCTATCCATTGGGCAAGGATTACCGGTATAAGGGTAAGGAGGTAACTTGTGAATCCTTGCTTCGCGGTAACTTTTTGGAATGTAAGTGTCAATTCCTCCTTTCATGATGGGCCCCCTGGCTAACAGATCCTAGGTACAAATAATGGCGGCGCGGGTGGTTGGATTGACGCCGGATGTGCCCGATACGCCTTCCGACCGACGAGGTAGATGGTTCGAGAGTTGGGAGCATTTTGGAATGAGTGTATGGAACTTCAAGTAAGGACTAGACTTGAGTAATATGTCAAGGAATGTAACCTTGTAACAGCTATTACGACTATCTCATATGAACTAAAGTTCAAATTTCAAATCAAGTTCGTGGTGGTGGCTCTTACCTAGGTGGAAATCACTAGAATGTTGTAATCTATCCGCATATTTGTGCCGTATTGAGCTGCGATGGCAGTCCAACCCTGGGAAGATAGGTCATGTCAGGCTACATACTTCGGCTCGAAGGTCCGGCCTCTCAGGAGAACTTACTAACCAGAAGAATGCAAGTGTTTATGTTATTCTGGCGAAGCAACTCGTGTTTGAGGAATGTTTGTGATCACTGGATTGTTTCTGTCCAATGTTTTGGTATGATCATGGACCATCACACCACATGAAACGGTCAAACAGAGAAGCCCAGCCCTTGTTTCCATTGACAGAGGCCACTAAGGGAGAAAATGAAGATTTATAAGTAAGGCCTGACCGAACCAATCTCACGAGCATATCACTCGGAGAATTGCCTAGTATTTGTTCCCAAAACCCTCCTCCATCATGCCATCCAAAATGATCGTCTATACCGCAGCTTTGATGGGCGCCATTGGCCTGACTTTTGCACAAACTCTCAACATAGTTGCTCATCAAGACGACGACCTTCTCTTCATGAGCCCAGATTTGATTCGCGAAATCGTATGGGGCCATACTGTACGCACTGTTTTTCTCACGGCTGGCGACGCAGGCCTAGGCCCAGACTACTGGATGGGGCGCCAGATGGGCTCCCTTGCAGCCTACACACGCATGGCCGGCGCATCCAATTCTTGGGAAGAAAGCGATCTCGGCTTCGACGACTATGATATCTCCCTTTACACTTTGCGTGACATGCCGCAAATCTCGGTGGTGTACATGCACATGCCTGACGGGGGCCTTGAGGGTATCGGATACGACTCTACCGGGTTCGAAAGTCTGATGAAACTGTGGGAGGGGGATATCGATTCCATTGGAACAGTGGACGGGTCCAACACGAGGTACACCAGGGACGGGCTGCTAGATGTGCTGACGCAAATCATTGAGGATTTTGAGCCTGACCGCATCAACACCCTCGACTATGTTAACAGCATCGGCGACGGCGATCATCCTGACCACTATACAACTGGGTTTTTTGCAGACCATGCGTCGCAGGCGGCCACTGGGGATTATGACTTTACGGGATACATGGGGTACGGGATCAATATGCTGCCAGTGAACTTGGACGCGTCGGATATGGAGGATAAGCAGAACATCTTTTACGAGTATGGCGCCTATGATATAGGAACATGCTATGATGCGGCGAGCTGTTCTGGTCGCCCCGAGTCCGGGTGGCTCATGCGACAATACACTGTTTGACAACCCTGGCACCCATGTCGCACATTATAGACAAGAATTGGTGATGTAAGGGAAACATGCCTAAGCAGGAGGAACTTGAAATGTGGTGCGGAAGGTCAATTGATGATCATGTCAGGCTATAATTTTCTTCTCTAGTCCTATCCAATGGCGGTAATTACAACATGGTGCATTGGAATTAATTTTAGCATATTTTAATCCAGGTTATGAGTGTCTTAGAATTAATTTTCACCCTCTATATTAGAATTAAAGATATTTGTTGAAAGGATTGTTTGTTTGTTAGTTCACATGACATAGCTTAGGTATAAGCAAGATCATTATCACTTTCCTTTTATAGAAATTAATAATCTTTATTATCTTATCTTTATTAGATTATAAGTTTAGAAGACTTTAAAATATTCCTAAATTTTATTAAAATAATTATTAAAGCTATATAATTATTATATTTAAATTTAATAATATTTCTTCTACTTTTAATAATTCTTATTAAGAGAGTTCTCTGAAGATCTAAATAATTAATTAAATTAAGCTATAAGAATTATAATATGATATTGTCAAGACCCAGGATCCCTTAATGCTTATGCTATACTAGTATTAGTGACTTAGGTTATTTAAGATAAAGAATACCCTGTGATCTTTCTATTAGCTATTAATAATAGATTAGACTAACCTAAGGCCTTATATAGTGGTCATGCTAACTATATTAATTAATAAGATAATCTAATAATCCAGAAGTAACTAACAAGCAAGAAGAGAAGTAAGATATACTAGATATATATACCTGATACTTAGTTAAGTATAAATAAGTAGAAACTAGTCTAAATATATACTCAGACTTGAGACTATTATTAAATATAACTAACTAAACTATAGATATATAATAAATAAGTATTCTTATATATATTCTTTAATAGCTATTTGTCAAGACCCTAGGATCCCTTGATGCTTCTGCTATACTAGTATTAGTGACTTAGGTTATTCAAGATAAAGAACGCCCTGCAATCTTCCTATCAGCTATTAATAATAAGTTAGACAAACCTGAGGCCTCATATAGTGGTCATGCTAACTATATTAATTAATAAGATAATCTAATAATCCAGAAGTAACTAACAAGCAAGAAGAGAAGTAAGATATACTAGATATATATACCTGATACTTAGTTAAGTATAAATAAGTAGAAACTAGTCTAAATATATACTCAGACTTGAGACTATTATTAAATATAACTAACTCTAATAGGCATATTCCAGGTAAACATAACACCTACTAATACTTGGTATAGTATTAAATTTAGTATTAGTAGATAATACTACCTCTCATGAGAATAATATATATTTTTCTAGAATTTTAGAGGTATTATAATAATTATAAGAGTATATTAAAGTTAAGAGATTAGAAATAGGGATTATCTTATAAAATTCTTAATTAAATAAGTTAAGATCTTATAAAATTCCTAATCAGATAAGTTAAGATTATATAAAATTCTTAATTAAAAGTCTTAATACTTTTCTTATTCCTGTTAATTTTCTGATTTATTAAGTTAATATAATATAAGCTTCTAATAAACTAGCTATTTTCTTTTTTTATTATTATTTTCTATATCATAATCAGGAATAAAGATTAATAACTTAATATAATAAAAATAGATAAGAGCTAACTTATAGATAGATATATAACTAATATTTAATTAAAGAGTCTTTATTATATATAATAATCAGGAGAATCATAATCTAAGAGAGATAAGTAATTTATTTTAAATATTAAGATATTTATTCTTCTAATTATATTTCTTTTATTGTCACAGCCAGGAATAGAGATCAATGGTCCAGCTCGGTAGAAGTGGATAAGAGTTGACTTGTGGGTAGATATATAGTTAATATCTAATTAAAGAGGTCCTGCTATATATAATAGCCAGGAGAATTATTATTCAAGAAGAGTAAGTAATTTATTTTAAAGACTAACATACTTACTCTTCTACTTATATTTCTCTTATCTTATAAAGATATTTATTAATAAGTAAAGAATTAGTTATCTAAATAATATCTATTCTAACTCCTATATTAATCAGCATGCTGCTATTTATAATTTAAATTATTTCTTATTACTTTTTATAAGATATCTTAATAAATAACCTGTCTGCAGGCTAGAGAGGAAATAAAGACTATTAATTACTAAGTTATAAAAAAACTCTCTAGTAAATTCTTTTTATCTAGTCTTATACCTGACTAGGAGGAAGATAAAGAAGATCTCTTAAAAATAATTAAAAAGAAACTCTTTATAATTATCTAATAGCTTCTTAATAATAATAAGAAAGAGAAGTCTAGTAAAAAGTATACTAAGATTACTAAATCTAATCTCTTTAAAAAAAAGAATTACTAATAATATTTTATATTTACTTATAATCTTTAAGATTATTTCTATATATCCTGTAACTTCTTTTATAATAATATTAATTATATCTTATATATAGTATCTCACCTGTAAGATATTCTAAAGAAAGTCTAATAAAGTAAGTATAATAAGCAGGCTAAAGAAATTACTTATATAAAATTTAAAATATTTTTTTTATAATTAAGTTAAGCTGCTAGCAAGTTATAGATAGAATACTTATTATTTATTAAGAGAATTATAGTAAAAGAAAAATAAGTTAATTAGCTTTCTCTTTACTCTTATTCTCTTGCTAATTTAAGAAGTCTAAAAAAATTTTAAGTTTCTTTTTATAAATATATACCTGAAAACTATATATCTTATTATATATTAATAAATCTATATATTTCCTGAAATATAGTCTGACTAATAGTCTATTAATAAGCTTGTAATAATTAAACTAGTAAAATAATATAAGTTTATTAATAGGTATAATTATATATTATATAAAAAGTAAGATATAAAGAAAGAGAATAAGTTATAAACTTATAAGAAATTATATTTTTATAGAAATAAAGAAAAATATAATTTAAATAAGTTACTTAACTCTAGAAGTCTAAGAGACCTCTTATTAAAATAAATATAAATTAATAATTACTTACAGTCTATTTACTACTATAATTATAATAAATTAGAATACATGACTTGAGACTATTATAAAAATAAAAAAGAAGATAATAGATTTTCTAAATAAGAATTTATATTTTTATAAGTTATAATAATATATATAGCTAGTAAACTCTTAGCACCTCTAGTAGAGGCTACTAGAAAGATAAAAATTAACTTTAAATAAGAGCTTATTAAAGCTCTTCTTAACTTAGAGAGTAATAAAGTTTTTATTTCTTATTAATTTCTAATAATTATAAGATAGAAGCCTGACTTTAATTAATTTTTATTATCTATTAAAATCTTTAACAGAATATTATTAGCCTGCTATACTTATAATATCTTTTTATTTTAGATTAATAATAGCAAGAAGAGATAGTATAACTATTAAATAATAATTTATATTATTAATATAATAGGATATAATATTCTTCTTAGCTAGATATAACTTTAAAAAATCTAACTAATATTTAATTAGTAGATAATAAGATAAAGATACTCTAAGAAACTAATAAAAATAAAGATTAAGAGTTTATATTACTTCTTTAAGCTTATAT